AATTCTCAAATTCCCAAATTTCCAAATTCCCAAATTTCCAAATCCCCGAATTCTCAAATTCCCAAATCTCCAAATCCCCGAATTCTCAAATTCCCGAATCTCCAAATCCCCGAATTCTCAAATTTCTTTAAAATTTCGTGACTATCGCCATCTTTAAAGCAAGTCATCAATTACTGTATGACTCTAGTTACCTCCGACTGCTTGTCACCGAGAAAGATTTACCTATTACATCATTAAGCAGAAAACTTGACAGACGGAGTAAAAAATAAACATGGCGAATAAACAGCGATACACCTTGCAAACCTAACCTCATGAATTGACCGTCCAATGAAATAAGTATCAAGGCGCCATTTGTCAAGTTCCATACTCGATCTGATACGATATTTTGAGAGCTTTGGAAAGACCTTAAAAATTATTAGATTCATAATTACATGTAAAGGATGACAGAGTGTGACTAATAGAGCTACGAGTATAGGAGCTACAAACTTCGATTATCACGCAAGGTTCAAGGTTCCTTTTCCAAGCATTTTGAAAAGTATCAGGTTCCCGCCAAAGTGCAACGGAGTCCATCTTGATGTTGTGGACTCATTCGAGTATTTTCATATATTCTATATAAATATCCTCCATCCACACATTTCTAAATACCTTCCAAATCTTTTCGTACATTTAACGTTTTCTCAGTTTAGTTCCAAGTTAATAATTTAAGAAAGTTACAGTGTTTGCGGGTAAATCGATAACAGAAATATTTCTAAAATACTTGTTAAGAAACATTTCCTAAATACTTGTCCAAAACCATGGACCTAGAAATACATAGACGGTTTGAATTTAAGGAGAAAATGGCCATATTCAGAAAAGATGTTCATACAGTAAGTTTATAGTCAGTAAGTTTATAACCTCAATATTTAGGTTCTAACCTCAACATATACTAAATGTGTCTATAAATCAAATTTTAATTTAGTAAGTATGAAAAGGTTGTACAAGAACAAATAGAATTTGCAGAAGAACTATTTGAAATGAAGGACAAAATCAATATGGCTTCCCTCCGCACGTACAGGAATAAATAAAAAATATAATTAAATATATTTTCAATTCCTACGTCGCCATCCACATATCTCTAGGTTCACAAAACGTTCAAGATACATACTTCAAATCTGTGAAGCATTTCCTCCTCTGCGTCACCTCTAGTGTCTCTATCCACGAATCCCGCAAAACTCAAAGTAACAAAAATAGTCCACCAGCACGTTGGACACCCGAGTCCAAAAGCACAGTTCGGTCACGTGATCACTATCACCGGAAGCTTCTACCCTCACTTGGAGTCCTTGTCTCTACAGTGAGACTCTTCAGGTAGCAGTCTCGTAGGTGACCTTGGTCGTGGACAGCCCGAAAGGGAATCCAGCGTAGAGAGGTCTCGGGACAAGAAGATGACCCCTCTTCTCGTCCTCCACGTTGCCGGAGATCTGCTCATCGTCGGGTGCGATGATGTTCTCGATGGTGAAGGGTTTCTTCTTCTTCTTCTGCTCGGGCTGAATGGTCGTCTGGCTGGAAATGCCGGGTTCCAGGGTCGAGCGTTTGCCGCTCGCGGGCTCGAGGCTGCTCCTCGCGGTGTCCAGGAACGGTCTGGACTCAGTCTTGTCGGGGATGGTCTCCGCGGTGCCGGGGCAGATTTGTCGGCTGTCGGGGATGTCGGTCTGGAAGTAGGACAACTGGGACACGTACGGGGTCACCTGGAAGCCGGGGAAATTCCAGCTTCCCGTTTGCAGCAGGTTGCTCTCGTAGCCGCGCAGAATCTCGTCGGTGCCGGCCAGTCGCTGTCTGACTTCCGGCGACAGCAGGTAGTAGCTGGAGCCGGCCTCCGGCGCGGAGAAGCCAGGAGAGCTGTCACCGGAAGTCATCGTCAGACGACGCTCGTGCAGCTCCCAACGGAGCAGATCGTCGCGCAGACGGTGCAGATTGGCGACCGTCAGGCTACTCGTTTGGGCGGCCGGGTTTATCGATATCACCGGCGAGGACTCCGAGTGCGGGGGCGGCATGGCGGACGCCAGGGCTTGCAGCTCGGATTTTAACAGCTCTTTGTCGGGCTTGTGCAGTTTGAACCGCTTTCGACGACGGAGCAACGAGCCGTTCTCGAACATCGAGAGGGCGGCTGGGTGCAGCGCCCAGTACGCGCCTTTACCTGGTCGATGTGGTCCCCTCGGCACCTGCAATCAACAATTTCGATCACGACTTTTAATCATTTTCTGCTACCTTTGTGGATAGTATTTGAAGTGTACATTTAGATCGGAGTATGGATCTACTTTTGTCCTTTATCCGACAATCTTAGTAGCGTTACAGGCTTATTATTATAAATTATGCAATAAATTCGATGATACAGTAGCTTTTACGACTTTTGAACACGCTAGTGGCTCTACGTCATAGGGCTCCATGGAGATCGGTGTAATATTGGGAGAGATGATTTCTGTTGATCGACCACCGCGATTGCTAATTTTTCATTGGACACCAAGGTTAGATCACTGTGTTACATCGACACGTGTTAGATTGTCATAAATTACATCGCAAGAAGTTAAGTCGTTACACGTTACATTGTTTCAGATTAAATCGTCACGAAATGTATATTCCTAGATCGTTAGATTTTTATTCTCGTACGTTACTTTTGTATCTTTACGCTTTAATATTTTTAGGTTATATTCTTAGGTGTGCACGTCCCTAATTCATATATTTTATAGTAGATTCATATGTTCCCAGGTTCCTAGATTCTTAGATATGTCCCTAGATTTTTATCAGAGTCATATATGTCATAGTAAATCCCCTAGATTTTTAAATCCTTGGATTACAATGTATCTATACCCCCAGATCCCTAGATGCCCTCATGTCCCTAGATTTCCAGCTCCAGTTGCAGTAAAAGTTGCATAAAATCCTAGTAACTTGCACATGAAATAAAAGGTAAAGGTAAATCCTGACACGGTTCGATATGAAAGGCAGAAATAAAGCATGCAATTACCTAAAGCGTAATACACGTATTAAATTACAAAAATCGTTAAAGTGTCCTGTATAATTTTATCCGTAATTTCGCTGACATGTTAACGCGATCGTCAGAGAAACAGAAATTGCAGCCGTAATTTAAGTATCGTTACATTTTGATTAAATCTAATGTTTTGTTGCTACAATGCGATGCGATCGATTCAGTTACTTCGACACTAGCGCCGCCAAGCTGACAAGTTTCTCGCAGTCACTGTGATGCACCGAAAGCAGAAGAAAAACGCAAAGGTTGTTATGGAATCGCGTCTCGTAATAAATTGGACAACGTTGAACCCCGATGTAGATAAAATTGAAACATAGTTAAAAATTAAGATTACAAGTAATCGGTGAATTATTCATTCGAAGTCGAGGCAACTAATTAAACCTGAACGCAGATATAATTAAGATCTAATTGCACATAAATGTTTGAAAATACCATTGGTTCTGAAATTCATATTAGAAACTCGTTTGTCGCGGCCGTGATTAATTGCACGACCGAATATGGCACTTGAACATGTAAATCACACCTTGGCAATTATATTTTTCCAACGGGCGTGTAATGGTTTATAAACAATAACTGCTGTTTAATAGACATTTCTATTCATCGATCTAACGACGAGCGGTGCCGTACGCGTACTGCCTCGTGCAATTTGCATAAACGCATGAATGTTTCATGCGTGGATGTAAGAAGCTGTTCTTCGCGCGTAGCCGCGTGAAATATTCATACCGATGGGAAAAAAATATTGTTCAACAAATACCGGTGAGTTATTACTAAATTATTTACATTGATTTTCTATCACCGCGTTCATGTTTTATCTAATCTAATTTCGAAGTAATCGTTTCAGTTTTTTACTGTTAATAATTCTTGTTTTCATATTTTTGGATTATTCGAGGGTGTGGGATGTCTTGAGTTATTCTTTGGGACTTATGTTTTATTAGGTTATGAGATTTTAAGAAAGTTATACTGTAGAATGAAAGTGTAGAATGTAATGGTTCAAGAAAGTTTTTTTGGGATATCAATTTTTGAGGTTATCCTCTCTGCATCCTCCTCTCAAGTATCAAATTATTAATAAATAACAAATATTAAAGCATCAAATTGCTAATATATAACTATTATTAATGTACAACAATGCAGAGCATGGAATAATTATAATAGTTTGAAGCAGAAGTTATATTTCGTAATAAAAATTTTTGTGAGGTTATGTCCTGAGCGCCCTCTCTGCACCCACCTCTCAAGTATCAAATTATTAATAAATAACTAATATTAAAGCATCAAATTGTTAATACGTAACTATTACTAATGTACAACAATGCAGAGCATGGAATAATTATAATAATTTAAAGTAAAAGTTATATTTCATAATAAAAATTTTTGTGAGGTTATGTCCTGAGCGTCCTCTCTACACCCACCTCTCAAGTATCAAATTATTAATAAATAACGAATTTTAAAGCATCAAATTGCTAATATATAACTATTATTAATGTACAACAATGCAGAGCATGGAATAATTATAATAATTTAAAGCAGAAGTTATATTTCATAATAAAAATTTTTGTGAGGTTATGTCCTGCAACTGCGTCCATCTTTCAAATATCAAATAACATAGTATACTAAAAGTATAAACGTAGAAGCATGCAATTACATAGTGTACAAAAATACGCAGTAAGGAGATCGATACAGAAATAGCAATAAAAATTGATTAGTGATAAGATCGCAGGAATTTCGTTCGACGCAGCCAATTCAAGATAACGATCGACAGGTTGTGCAACGAAACGCGGCTAAACACGGCGTTCTGTGAATAGCCTCATAAGACACGCATAACGAGAAATAAACAGGATGATTGCGAGGTGGAAAAGGGTTCGTCTTTGGAAACAGATAAAAAGATCTGTTTTTTTTTCTCTCTCTGTTGATCGACTACCGGGTCCGTTTTAACGCGGAGGGACAAGCTGTGTCAGCACTCGTTCTCTATTCTATTTCTCGACCATCTGTTTTGCACCTGCCTTCGACCCGAATCGCCAAGGAACGCGATCGCTTCGCTGGACGACCACGAAATCGTTTTACTTTTTCGCGAACCTTCCCAAGCCAAACACATTAAGGGGCCATTTTGGTAATTTGCTTCGAAAACAAAAAATCAATATCTCTCCTAAGTACCGACATTAAGAATGCTCCTTGACGACACGTCTAATTGGAAATTGCCGTTTAAAAATATTCTCTTTTAATTTTACTGCTTCTGTTAGAGGGAATAATTCAGACAACATTTAACGCTAGCACTGTCACACATTTATCGTTGTTTTTAATATTATTAAGAAATTATCTGTACAAAGTCCTAGAGAAAAATTCTTTAGGAAGTGTACCATAATGTATGAGGGGGCTCTAGGTTAATCTAGGGACATTTCCCTGAGCACAGACTCCTAGGGAAATATTCCAGAAATACACTCTAGGGAATGTAGTGTAATATTTTTATATAGACGTCATATATGCAAAGTCCTAAAGGAAAATTCCCTAGGGATTGTACCATAATGTATGAGGAGGCTCTAGGTTAATCTAGGGACATTTCCCTGAACACAGACTCCTAGGAAAATATTCCAGAAATACACTCTAGGGGATATGGTATAATGTTTGTAGAGAAATATGTTGTAAACCTTATTCTAAAAATAATGTCCCTAGATATTTTACGAAGTGAACATTCCTTAGAAAAATATTTCCTAAATATACCTAGGGTATATGATAGAATACCCCTTGAAAAATATGCTCTAAACCCTAAGGATATTACTATTAAATATTTTATTGAAGATCTAAGATCTAGTAATATTTCGACTAGCCTCAACATCGCGTCGCAAAGTGTCGCTAGAATCTACTTAATCACTAGAAAGAAGAAAAGTACCTATACAAACCTTGATGAAGCAGTCGTTAAAGGACAAATTGTGCCTCAAAGAGTTCTGCCATCTCCGAGTGTCCTTGCGATAGTACGGAAACCGATCGGCGATGAATTTGTAAATTTCAGCGAGCGGCAACATCTTGTCCCTCGAAGACCAAATCGCCATCGCGGTCAGCGAGATGTAAGAATACGGTGGCTTTTGATCGCCGTAAGTGTCCCTCGATGGCCGAGGCATCTTTAACTCGGCTGTTCGACCTCGCCCTGAACCTTTATCGCGATCCTCATTCACACTCTATCCTCGTCGAACACGAGTCACATTTTTCTTACATCTTCCTCGGCCGTTCAGGTTGCAATTACTGCGGCGTTCGGTTGAGGGAGGACGTTGATTCGATGACGCTTTTAGTGTGTTGGTGACATTTTAGGTTTTCTTTGATGGATCGATGATGCACGATCACTTGGTTTACATGGGAGTGTTCTGAAACATAAAGAATGGGGTGGTTAGGAGATTTTAGAGGGTTGTTATTTAGATAGTTTGAATGACCGCCATTTGGGAGCAATGTGGAGACGGGAAGGATGGCGTTAGGTGGGAAGGAAAGATGACATGTGGTGGATGACAATATGGCTGTTTCGGGAAATGGATTCTGAGAGTTTTGGATTTTGGGAAGGTGAGATTTTGGGGTTGTGGAAGCTGGGGCGCTGGGATTTCGGGACATCTTGAGTTAGGGGCGCTGGGATTTCGGGAGATCTTGAGTTAGGGACGCTGGAATTTCGAGACGTCTTGAGTTAGGGACACTGGGAGTTTGGGACAATTTGAGTTAGAGACGCTAGGATTTCGGGACAATTTGAGTTAGGGATGTTGAGATTTCGGGACATCTTGAGTTAGGGACGCTGGGATTTCGGGACATCTTGAGTTAGGGGCGCTGGGATTTCGGAATAATTTGAGTTAGGGGCGCTGGGAGTTTGGGACAATTTAAGTTAGGGACGCTGGAATTTCGGGACATCTTGAGTTAGGGACGCTGGGATTTCGGAACAATTTGAGTTAGGGGCGCTGGGATTTCGGGACATCTTGAGTTAGGGACGCTGGGATTTCGGGACATCTTGAGTTACGGACGCTGGGATTTCGGAACAATTTGAGTTAGGGACGCTGGGATTTCGGAACAATTTGAGTTAGGGACGCTGGGATTTCGGAACAATTTGAGTTAGGGACGCTGGGATTTCGGAACAATTTGAGTTAGGGACGCTGGGATTTCGGAACAATTTGAGTTAGGGACGCTGGGATTTCGGAACAATTTGAGTTAGGGACGCTGGGATTTCGGAACAATTTGAGTTAGGGACGCTGGGATTTCGGAACAATTTGAGTTAGGGACGCTGGGATTTCGGAACAATTTGAGTTAGGGACGCTGGGATTTCGGAACAATTTGAGTTAGGAACGCTGGGATTTCGGGACAATTTGAGTTAGGGACGCTGGGATTTCGGGACAATTTGAGTTAGGGACGCTGGGATTTCGAGACGTCTTGAGTTAGGGACGCTGAGATTTCGAGACGTCTTGAGTTGGGGACGCTGGGATTTCGAGACGTCTTGAGTTAGGGACGCTGAGAGTTTGGGACACCTTGAGTTAGGGTCATTCGAATTTTGGGACACCTTCAGTTGGAAGCCCCTGTGATTTTGGGACATCTTGAGTTAGGGTTGCTGAGGTATTAGAACATCTTGAGTTAAAGTTGCTGGGATTTAAGGATATCTTGAGTTAAGATTGCTGGGACTTTGGGACACCTTAAGTTAGGGTTGCTGAAATATTAGAACATCTTGAGTTAGGGTTGCTAGGATTTAAGGAGATCTTGAGTTAAGATTGCTGAGATATTAGGACATCTTGAGTTAGAGTTGCTGGGATTTAAGGACATCTTGAGTTAAAATTGCTGGGACTTTGGGACACCTTGAGTTAGGGTTGCTGAGCTATTAGAACATCTTGAATTAGAGTTGCTGGGATTGGAGGACATCTTGAGTTAAGGTTGCTGGAACTTTGGAACATCTTGAGTTAGAGTCGCTGTTATTTCGCAATACATTGCTTTAGGCACTCTGGGACTTCAGGACCTTTTAAATTTTTGATACTCTGGAATCATAATATAAAATGTTGGGTCACTAACGTTGTCTGTGAAAGCTACAAAAATAGCAAATTCCACTGCTGAACAATATCATCACCACATTTCCTCGCAACCCCTTGCCTCATATCACCGCGCACTATATCGCCACATTCCCCCAACAACAAACCCCTCAAACAATAACCCACCACTCCTACTTTCAACTCTTATTATCACAACAATGTGACACAATTAAAAATAAAAGTAGATGACAAAACACCTCCACTTATCGTCCCATCTCCCAAATTCCCGCGGAATCACTCTGACGAGACGTATAACTCAATTTTTCGGTAAAATGCCGCGTAAAATGATGAATTCTCCGGTTGATTACTTTTTCCGATACCGAACCGATACAGACGGTGTGTTGGTACGCGTTCGGTTTATAGTTGCCTTAAACACCGACACTACTATGAAAATGCATGATTCATGAGGAACGTTTGCGAGAGGTCTAAGTTGGGAGGGTCCAGGTTCTCAGAATTTAGGGTTCGAAAGATGCTTCGTCGTGGCGGCGAAAGAAGGCGGAAGAATAAACGAGAAGTATGAAAAAGGAGCAAACAAATTACAGACAACAAAGGCCGGGCAAGGCCAAAGAAACGGATTAACCCTTTTATAACACCGTGTCAAATTCGACTTACGTATCTGACGATAGTGATGGAACATCAAGACAATGATGTTCAGTGAAAATTCTTCGAGAAATATGTTATCGTTTTAATCTCGAGTTTGATGTACTGCCCACATGATTCATTTGTGACTGTTATGTTACACCGTGTCGAATTGCATAACCTGAACTCGTTTATGGTTGTCCAAAGAGTACATGTTATACTTTCTTTGTTATTTTATTGGCGAATGGTTAGAGCGAGCCGTAGAGCAATTTGCATTTGAATTTCCCGCCACTTTTTGGCAAGATGGAGAATTCACATGTGTCATCTCTTTGAATTTCTAAATGTTCTAACTTTTGTACTCTTATGTTATTGACTTTTACAATGTTGCGCACAAATATCTAAATTGATAAATTCCTAAATCCTTAAATTTTTAAGTAGTCAAATCTGTAAGTCCCTAGATTTGTAATTTTTTAGATCTTCTATTGTCAAAGTTATTAAGTTCACAAATGTTCAGCAACTTAACGTAACTCAATATCTTAATTTTCTCAATAACCAAATTTCCAGCTTGTATACTCTTTAATTTCCTAACTCACTATATTCCAAATTTCCGTCTTCCTAAATCCCCAAATCTTCAAATTCCTAATTTTTCAAATCGTTAAATCTTCAAATTCACAAATTCACAAATCCCTAAATCCTCAAATCTACAAATCTACAAATTCCTAAATCCCTAATTTCCTAATTCCCCACTTTTCCAAATCCCCAAGTTTCCAAATTCATAAACCCTTGAATCCCTAAATCCCCAAATTTCACAATTTCCAAATCCCTAAATTCCCAAATTCCTAATTCTCCAAATCCCTGGATCCCCAAATCCCTATATCCCCAAATCTCTAAGTTCCCAAATTCCTAGATCTCCAAATCTCTAAACTTCCAAATTCCTAATTCCCCAAATTCCTAATTCTCCAAATCCCCAAATCCCCAAATCCCTAGATCCCCAAATCTCTAAATTTCCAAATTCCTAATTCTCCAAATCCTGAAATCCCCAAATCCCCAAGTCCCTAGATCTCCAAATCCCCAAATCTCTAGATGCCCAAATCTCTAAATTTCCAAGTCCCTAAATCCCCAAATCCCCAAATCCCTAGATCCCCAAATCCCCAAATTCCTAAATCCCCAATTCCCTAAATCCCCAATTCCCTAAATCCCCAAATCCTTAAACCCCAAATCCCTAAATCCCCAAATCCCCTAAACCTCCAAATCCCCAAATCCACAAATTCCCAAATCCCCAAATCCTCAAATCCCCAAATTTCCAAATTAAAAAATGTTTCACCAAAAAAGCACCGACCAACGTTTCCTCCCCCTAAGTCGCCATTTTCCCTAGACACGTCCACTGCACACGCGACTGTACACGCGACGGCAAGTAGTTCGATGTTCAGGAAACAAGAAACGGCGTTCGTGACCAAGAAGATTAACGCAAAACGAAATTAAAATCGCAAAATCAACTTGAGCGGCGCAGCCAAAGCAACATCTAACACGAAACGTGTAACTACAGGAAATAAAGTTTCGAATCGGGGGAATAACATCGGCCTGTGTGACACGAGCGAACAACTTTTCCTCTGAACGATACGAGGCCATTTAACAATTAGCAGTCGCGTGAAAACGCGAGCTAAACTTGTACAACAGATCTGTTCGAACGAAACGGACTGGTTTCCGCAGGAAAAATGGCGATGTGGAGAAATATGACATCTCAGATAAAGCGTTTAGTTTACGCAGTTTGACAATCTTGATTCAAAGAGTACCGCGGATCACGCGCCTGGCGCGTGCGGTTCTGTTGCGACGAATTTAGAAGAATTACCATATCTATTTTTAAGCATTACTGTTTTTTCAATTAGTGGAATGTGGAGGTTTTTAATTTGTAGAATGCTGGAATTTGCAGTTGTTGAAACTTTGGACTGTTGGGGACTTTGGGATTAAAATGTGGGGTATTGGCACTTTGGAAGTTTAGGACTACAGAATGGAACTTTAGACTGGAAACTTAGGTAGTTGGCTACTTTTGTATATTGAAATTTGGGGAATTCACAAGATTTCAACTTGGGGGGTGATGTTGGGATTACTAGACTTTAGAACATCATAACTTCTAAGTATTGTGTCATAACTTTCAGACCTTTAGGTACAGGAACTTTGGAATGTCACTTGGTACAACCTACGTCTAGTTTTATCGGAAAGTTTCTCTATGGCTAAGTTTCAGTAACTTTCCAAGTGACTGTCCACTCCACATTTCATCCCAAAGTACCTTCATATGATCATCTCTGATGCTACACTTCTAGTATGACTTCGACCCTACTGGGCAGGAACCTGAAGAATCCTAAACTACCCATGATCCTCCTTAACGCGTTAGACCTACATATGCTACATATGTCTTTGATTAATGTCATCCCTATACCTAGACATCATATCAACCCAAACTCCATAGTCGAATCCAATTAATCCAGCAAATACCCCATCCCACATAAAATACTTAGCCCAAGTCTATTACTTTCCATATAAGTTAACAAACTCACAACGAATAATAAATCTCCTGTCCTGACAGGAGTCATAAGTCCCTAAATTTATGGAGGAGCCTTAACAAGCATCTGTTTATTAATTCTGTGACATAACACTAATCGTTGTTCGACAATATAAACAAATTATCAAGAATAATTTGATAGACAAGTTCATTAAGTACCTGGTGCCGTGAGGACTCTCCCAAATTCACACCCAGAACACAGTGTCTGCAGCAACTATAAGTAACATCCTCAGAAAGAGTCTTCACTAACAATTCTGGGGCTCCAACGCACCATCACACATCCAAACTTCTTCGAATCTCTGATTTTGCTGTTACAAGACTATGATCTTAGTTCAGAAACACTCACAGTTTATAAATAAATATTAAATTTGTGAAGTTTTCATTTGTCAGTGTCTCTCAGACGTTTGCCACTCGGATTTTTCGTCGCACAAAATAGTTCGAATAGCCGGCACGGATTATCCTCGAAAACAACAGCCCCGGTGACCGGAAGCGACGCGAATGAGCACGCGGCCGGAAACCGAGCGCTGGAAAACCGGAAGGGAAGAGGAAAATCGAGCAACCAACGTCGCGTCTCCAGGGACACTGCGCTCGAACGATACCCACACTCCCGATGCGACAGCGCGCCCCCACTCCTCCACCATTCGCGTAGCCGGAGGCGGCGATTGGCCCGCAACGGCTCCTCCCACTCCGCGCCGTTGGACGCCGCGGACGCTGGGCGGCGACCTCTCCCCTCCCAGTTACCCACACGGTAATAATTATTTTTTCAGACTACTCCCGTCCTTTCTTCGCTGTCCTCCACTGCTGCGTAAACTTTATAGGAAAAGTACCTCGAGTACTATCTTAAACATTGAAAATAACAATCTTATTAAGTGGATCGTTATTCCACGATTTATTTGAATCGCTCGTGGATTACGGAGGAATTTGCTGCTCATTTTTTATGTATCTTCTGATGTTCTTTTTTTAGATACTTCTTTAAATTGTCGTTTAAATGAAGGAGGGGATTTTTAACAAGTTTAATATTCTTTGTTTCGTTGTAGTAACAGTTGGGTTATTCCGTTGTAATACGTGTTCATGAATGAATAATAAGTAAGTGGACTGTATATTAAGTGTGTTAAGGAATGTTCGCTATTTTGAATAATTGCTTTTCCACGAATTTTTGCTATTACTGTTATTACTAATAGGATATAGTGGCATATTTTTATCGTCCATCGCTCTTAGAACTGGAGATATGTAATTTATGTTCTCTCGCATTAGAAATAGTCCAATTATATTTCTCGGATCGATATAATGACATGATCGAATAAAACATTTATTGCTCGGTATTCCTTACGAGCAATTACAATTGATAATTAGATCATTACAGGCTTAACGAGTAGATTTCACGTTAATGATAGAATAGCGATCCTTTTTCCCGAATCACGGAGCAGTTCGAATAATTAAGATCGATGCCGCCTGTGCAACAGAAAGAACAGCCGCGTTTGGGCTTTCTTCGAGAACACGCGCGTTCAAATGAACGGTACGATGGATCTGCAGATAACTGAAATTATACACCTCGTTCCGAGATCTTCTGCAAAAGTGCAGCCAATTCATGAATTTCTGCTTGTACTACGAGATGGAAACGTGTAACGTTGAAATCTGCACGGTCATCAATTTCACTGAAATTTTCCACACGCTGCGCACCGTGTGTAATAAAACACGGTAGAAATATTACAATAATCGTTTACGCGGGTATGGTAAACGGATTTTTCCTACTGGTCTTACGCGTTACGCTTCCATTAAGTTTATTTCGTACTCGGAATTTTTCATTTTACATATCGTTATCGTATCGTGTCATTTTCAAATTTTATCAGTTTGAGTGTTAACTTATTTCATAACCCATTAACTTGGGTTATGATTTGTCAGGTGCATTAGAGCTACTGTTCACTATATCATCATTAACTTAACCTATAATTTTTTAGACAGCTAGCTAATTATTGCCACAACGTTCTGTGGGATCAATTGATCAGGCACTTGGCTCATCAGATGTGACCTAACCTCCGCCACCTAGCCTCGAATTTCACTCCACAAACTTCCATATATCGCTCAGAATTAGCTGAGCGATGAAACAGTGCGATATTATGTGCATTCATCTATTTTAATATGGATCACATTTTCTGATGATGGACCACATGTCAGGATCACATCTGATTATAGTCCACATGTCAGAATCACATCTGATGATAGTCCGCATGTCCTCATATTTCTTGTCTGTCTTAACCTTTTAACCTATTTTACTGTCTACCTATAATTCTCTGTATCATTTACCTATTTAACCCCTTAACAATTTTTTAGACAGTCACAGCTGGATAATTATTGCCACGACGTTAGGGCAACTAAAGAGAATTAAAATGTTAAGCACATTTTCCCTTCGGCGATCCTTGATTGTACAGATTATTAGAATTGAAGCAAAACTGAAATGCAGGGAAAATACGAGTCTGATCACGTACAACTGTAGTGTGCGTCACGAGTACGTCACGATATTGCAAGGGGTTCTAACATACAACTGTTCTATCTGACACTACTATTTCACTGTACCCTCTATTCCACTATTCCTCGACAAAAAATTTCATCTATTCTGGTCTATCAAAACTTGAGCAACCTTACAGAAAAATTTGACTGGAACTCCTTGTATGATTTGTCGAGTCAGACCTACAATACTAAAATAGAGAAAGTTGAAATGTTATGTCAATACATGACTATGCAAATAATTGGACACTTGAAGCCTATTTACTCGAGTGAAATTGATCAAGATTTAAAGTGTCGTAACCGTGAGTCGATTATCGATAGATTTTCAACGATGCTGTAATTCGAACTGAGGGGAGTCACGGTGACATCCTTTCTACAGGAACGCCTTCGTATTTACACGAGCCGTTACATCGTTACCCATGAACGTCATCGTGACGAGTCCGTTATTAGGCACGAAGATGACTTATCTTTCCCCTTTTATCACACATTCAACTACCGTGGCTTTTCTTATTCTTCTTTCAACGTTTCATAGCTTTGAACACGCGGCTACTCATTAATTTGTTCCTCGGCTTATTATTTGATTTTATTATTGTACGAACTGGGACGTGCAAAAATACTGGTTTGATTAATTTACTCTTTTTGTAGATGAGAAGTGGTGTGGTTCATTGTTATGTACATAGGAAATGAGATATAAGGCTCTGGTATAATTATGTAATTGATGTGGTAACTTTGTTATATTATTTTCTATATTAGTATTATAGTATTATATTAGTACTGTTTTATTGTGGTAGTATGATAGATACATCATTCTTTGGTGTTGTTATACTAGTACTCACTGTAGAGGTCTCAATGTCTAACGGTACCATTATACTACTATACTACTGTACCATTATAGTACTATTCTACTGTAGTGATCTCAGTACGTCACTGTGCCATTATACTACTGTACCACTGTAATAAATTCCATATGTTACTGTGCCATTATACTACTGTACCACTGCACCAATTTCAATATGTTACTGTACCATTATAGTACCATTCTACTGTAGTGATCTCAGTATGTCACTGTACCATTATACTACTGTACCACTGTAGCGATCTCAATGTGTTACTGTGCCATTATACTACTGTACCACTGCACCAATTTCAATATGTCACTGTATCGTTATAGTACTATTCTACTGTAGTGATCTCAGTATATCACTGTACCATTATACTACTGTACCACTGTAGCGATCTCAATGTGTTACTGTGCCATTATACTACTGCATCAATTTCAATACGTTACTGTGCCATTATACTACTAATCTACTGTAGTGACCTCAGTATGTTACTGTCACAATATACTACTACATTAGTGTATCAATTTCAGTATGTTACTGTACCATTATACTACTGCATCAATTTCAATATGTTACTATGCCATTATACTACTAATCCACTGTAGTGACCCCAGTATTTACTGTCACAATATACTACTACACTACTGTACCAATTTCAGTATGTTACTGTACCATTATACTACTGCATTAATTTTAATATGTTACTGTACCATTATACTACTGCATCAATTTCGAAATGTTACTGTGCTATTATACTAGTATTCTACTGTAGTTACCTCAGAATGTTAGTGTGCTATTATACTACTATACTACTGTACCAATTTTAATATGTTACTGTACCATTATACTACTGCATCAATTTCAATACGTTACTGTGCCATTATACTACTATTCTACTGTAGTGACCTCAGTATGTTACTATACCATTATATTGCTATACTACTGTACTTATCTCAGCATATTACTATGTATACACGATTACAAAAAATAAATCTATAACAACCGAATCTCCGACAAAACACTTAAGCAACAATTTTCTTCTTCCCTCAAAACCAGAAACAACAAAACAGAAGATTGATAGGTTAAATGCAAAATTTATACGAAACTTCTACGTATTCTTCGTTTCTCGGCAACTGCCATTTACTAACGATCAAAAAGACAGTAAAAAACGTGTAAGAACTACTGGATTGACGTAATTAATGGGTGAAACAATACCGAAGAAAGCAGCGGGTTGCATATTTAATAAATCGGAACGTCAAAGTGGTGATGTACGAGGCAGCTAGCAAGTAAAAATAAGAAACGAAACAAGCAGGCATGCATGTTCACCGTTATAAAAACGAGATGAAGAACGAAAGCCGGTTGTTGATTAACGATAAAGGATCATTATCAACGATAATGGCGTAATAAAAGCTTACCACAAGTTAACGAGACATGACAAACCGCGGCAATGTTGCAAATAAAACTGCGTACTATCACAGATTTTATACTGGGTGTAAATCAAGTAACGAAATAATCTTTGGAAAAATTACTTAAATTATTTTTAATCGTTTGTGCACTGTTTGTGATGTGGTGATGGCAAAAATAGTGATGGCAATTATAGTTATGTGAACAATAGTAATTATTTAGTAAAACATTAGTGACTCTAATGTTTTAGAGTAATGTTTTAGAGTATAGTAAACATTAGTGACTCTAGAGTAACAAGTATAATATTAATAGAGTAACAATAATGGTAGCTTTAGTTGTTGCAGAATGGTGGCAATTGCCATAGCAAGAGTGTCATAGAATAATTCTTGCAATAATTGGAGACACTTTACTTTTACAGAATAGTAATTGTAATAATAGATGGCGCCTGTAATTGTGGACGCCTCCGGCAGATGGCGCTGGCAATAGTTTACAATATTTGATGTGACAAACTCCGGAGTTCAATGGCTTCAATAAAATCCCCAACAGAAAAACTACCATAACCATCTAACAATTAACAGTAGAAAGCCTGTGTCACCCATTTAACCATAACAGTCCCTTAACCACTTTGTCTCTAACACCCAATGCTATAAAACGCGGACAAATGAGCTACAATATCCATAACCCAGTGTAGCAATAAAATGTTCGTACATCCACAAGAGTACTGTGGTAACATAGTTGCAACACGAGCGTCAAACCATAAATCCTTAATAATTGTGATCGATACGCTTCAGGTTTTCCATAAAACAACCGATTAACAATGTGTTAAGATGTTCCAGAAGGAGGATCACTCGTATAAACGTCGTGTAACACGACGGAGCCGATTTCTCTTTCATGGACGCAAAAACATACAGTCGCTTCCCCCGGTTAGGGGGACACCGTCTTTTTTCATCCCTACGAATTCGAATCACGTCGACCGCCACCAGTCTCTTTATTGTTTCTCCGTCGATTATTTCGCGTCTCCCCTCTAACAATTTCTTGGATCGCGGTGGGCGTGATATTCCTCCGGCCACGTTTCTCCCGGAACCGTACTGGTGGGCGTGGCTTAAGAGTCCGCGTCCCCGGTACACCGCCATGGATGCGGGCCACGCCCACCGCACGGGACGACGCTTCTCATTAGTCGCGGGCGGAGCCTTGGCGGACCGCTAATTCAGCAACTATCCGGTGCTCGTTGAGTCGAGGCTCGGTTATTCATAAAAAGTTCTACCGATGAGAAAACGAGAGATGGAAACGTGAACACCGGCCTCGAAAAACTTGCGCCGCCTGTTACCCTCAATACGGTAGCAGGCAGGCGCGAAATATATTCTATTGGATCAATGCACGAGGGAAACATGATTAGCTGGTTGTTGCACAACGAGAGCGTTTATTTATCGGTCAATCCTTGCTTGTTCTGTTAATTCGATGATATCATTCGTGTTCAGACTCTACTATAATTCTAACATCTTCGTTTATTCAACGGGAACTGAATTGATGGTTGACTCGCGTTATATTGCCGGTAATGAAATTCATTGTGGAGGACTGTGGGGCAACAGTTGGACGACTTTTTTTAGTTTATCTTCTCTTGATGTGTATATTAATTGCGATCATATAACATACGGCAATATAACACACAGCTATACAGTTATAGTATATGATATCTAGCATTGTATTGTTTACGCGAGGAATGTATACTATATGGCAATAGCGTACAGCTGTAGCTTACGCAACACCGATGGGACACGTGAAAGTGTCTCAGCATGGCAATATAGCTAACGGAAATATAACAATTGTAACAGTACGTGATGCAACATGTGCCAATAACACATGGTGATTCGCAATGTGACACTACGCCATGTAGCAATATGGGACATATACGAAGGGAGACAACATAAGGTGTAACAATAACGGCTATATAATAAGATTCTACTATAATTTGAAATACGTCATCCTGTGTTCTAAATTCCATATCATTCGAATTTCGTTTAAAAGTTCGCACTATTTAATGTACTTAATAAAATATAACTGTAATAATTCACATAAGCTGACAATCGATTCGACAAACGATTATTTAACCGTGCTTCGGTATACCCCATTTCCTGTCATATTTCAATAATTCTCTCCAGAAATTGAACTCGGGTTATTTTCTCGCTTCCAAATGTCCATGATAGACCGGATGTTTCTCGAAGCCTCGTATCCGGTTAATGGATTGCTCGGTAGCAAGGGCAAAACGATCTCTTACCTGTTTACCCGCTGATCCCTCGATGAGCAGCCAATTCGATGAATTCAATAAGTTGCGTCTCACGGGAGAGACGTCCGGTGTTTCTCCCTCTTTCTCCTCCATGCTAGGAGGACCGTACCTAACGGAGCGATACGATTGGGCGGTGGGCGGACTGGCCACGCCCCCTCGCATGGTTCGACCGACTCTACGCGACGAAACCAGCGCGGCGATTCGCGAGCACCGTGTCGCGCTCCAGAGAACCGAATCTTCGATCTACGCACGCGCAAATCAGCGCGGGACAGCCTCCGAAAGTCAAACGGGGGCGACGAGAAAAGAGAGTGATCGTTTTCTTGTTGAATCCGCAAGAATCTTTGGAATCGATGCGCTTCGTAGCAATCAATCGACTCGTTTCGATTTGTACTCGATGGGAGAATGGCCACGGTGTTCTTTTTGCACAAAACGCATAATTCCTCAATTTCGTTACTGTGCCTGCAAAATTGATGGTGTTGCGGCGAATTTCAAATCGATATTGACCGATTCAAATTCGTATCAATAAGGACGACGAGCGCAAAAAGTAGATGCGGACAGAGTCATTTCCTTTGGCTTCAGGGAAGGTTGACTGCTTCGGATACGGGGATATAATTTCGGTTGAATTAATAGATTGAAAGGGGGAGTGTCTTCAATTTCAATTAACATGACAAATGAACAATACAAATTAACTTTAAGATGCAATACTGTTTCTTGTGTTTATTGCAAAGATTTGTGGAAAATGATATTGAAGTTGACTGAAATTTTGAATTCAGTAATAAATAATTTGTTTAATAAAAAATATTGTCTTTGCGCCATGTAGCTAACTATTAATTATTTAGTTATACACACAAGATAAATAAATAATAAATTAATAATGCTATTGGTCCTACACATGTCTCTTACAGTAATTGTTATTTCACTTTAGATAAATTATCTTAACTCACATATTATAAACAGTATCTAATTTACCATAAGAGATGTTAAGGCAGGAACCTGCACGAGAAGTCATATTGGGAGACCTCTACCAGAGGCCTCAGTAGCCGATCAATATTAACGAAATTAAATCACACAATCGCCATCTTGGGACCCACAGAATATTCTACGAGCAACATAAAATCAATATTAATATATATATATAATGAATATATAGAATATTAATCAATAAAATCAATAATAATTGCGTTTTTATAAAAATCGTACTAGTGGCGCCATCTCTCCGGCGAACGGGGTGAACTACACACTTTTGGAACAGGGGCTTCGTTAGTTCCCGTGAGCTGCCACCAGATGGCGCCACGAATGCCTTTTTAAATTCAATTCGATTAATACAGTCGATTTTATTAGCTTAATTGACTATAATATAAAAGGAATTGCATTGGAGTACAAGAACAATTAACTTCAAACTGTTTTAACTATTATTAATTTTTAACCATTAGGGTAATTCTAATTAACCTACCGGTTTCTGTATTGTGTGGCGCCATCTAGTGGTAGAAGATGGGAACTAATTAAAGTAGTGTTCAGAAAGTGTGTAGTTCACCCCGTTCGCCGGAGAGATGGCGCCACATGTTAATTAGTTTTTAAATTCTCCTATAGAGGGCGCTGCTTCCATGATATTTTTTTTTTAGAAAGCGCGGGAAAATGCATATTTTAAAAGTCCTATCTAAGGACAGCTTTCAAAATGCTTTTACTTTCCTAATTTATTCACTATACAGTAAACTGTTGTACTTTATGCATCCTGTACACGCTAAATCATTATAATATTATATTTAATACTATAAACTATGAGGGAACATTAATTCACTCACACTTAATACAGTACCTAATGTTTTTGTATAACTATCTCTTTATTGCAAAGCAAATATACTTGCTAAATATACAATAATCATTGACAGTGAACTTAACAGTTAAATATGTTTCTTTCATACCATAATTTTGTAAAGTATTTATATTATACAGAATACTACATAAATTTTAATTAACAATATTCTAGGTTCTATACTGTATTTATATAAAAATCATTAATTCGTACTATACTTCATTCAATGAGTTATAATCATCGTAGAACGAGTTTTTATTTGTTCTGCGCACGTCACTTCTGATTGGTTCGATTACGATTCTCAAATAAGAGTAATGAGCATGCGTATTTACAATTTTAGTCATGCTATGTGTATACCCCGTAATCTTTTATTTTATGTCTCTTATTTCATATAAGACCACAGGCACATACAGAAATTTAAGATTTACAGATTTTGAAATTTAGAAATTGTAGAAATTGGATAATTTAAAAATTAGGATTTGGACATAGAGAAGATTAAAAGTTTGAAAATTTAGTAATATTTTGTTCACCTTATATATGACCGATAACATGAGAAATATAGCGTTCGGGAAATCACCAGCTAAGTATGGAACTTACTGAAGTTAGCTGCTTTGCGCAAATTAAGTATGATCTCTCGTTGAATGAAGTATATAAATTTAGTTTACATTAGTTTATTTTTTTATAAGCAGCAACTTCAAGGAAGTGTAGATTAGTATACCACAGTATATGAAGATGTTTATGTAGAATGAGTGCTGAATTGTTTATGAAAAAATAAGTCATTTTTCTTTAGAAATATATTAAATGCTTTGGATATGTCGCATTTGGTAAATATATAAATGTTAACAGAACCTCCATAAATGTGTAGACTTTTGTAATAACAATTTCAATTTATCGTACATTATCGAAAAGATGCGTTTCATGAAATGTTTCTGAGTTGTTTGTTTCTAACATTGGTGTATACCTTTCACAATCTTGGTATAATGGGTTCTCTTTTATTAATTATTTAAATTATCTTTTTATTTGTGACAAATCTGACTAAAGATACGTATATAACAAATAAACATACTTGTAAATAACTTTATAATTAATAACAGTAAATAAAAATTGTTTACTTTATGTATATCAAAAGAAAACATTGTGTTTTTCAAAAACTAATGGGTAGTGATAATAACATAGATACTAATAACAATTTATTATGCTTTACAATAGTTTTGTATAAAGCACAATTTATTTTGTTGATTCCAGAGCAAAAAAGAATGGGTTGTGTTAATAGTCGGACAGATATTAATGATCTACATCCAAACATTTTTCAAGTGATGAATGTAGATGATCAAGGAAATTTAGTTACTCCTGGACGTTTAGAAGTTACAGAAACTGACATAGTGCTTTACCAGCGTGGTAAACAACCTATTAAATGGCCATTGCGTTGTTTACGGCGGTATGGCTATGATGCAGAAATCTTTAGTTTTGAGTCGGGCAGAAGATGTTCTACTGGGCCAGGCATTTATGCATTTAAATGTCGTAGAGCAGAACATTTATTTAATCTTGTGCAAGCAAACATTCAGGTTTGGTATTTTATGTAACACTTAACATCACTTTTGATTTAAAACATATCTAAAGTATATCTTGAATAATATGTCCTTCAGGTTTGTAACAACAGTGGAGATGATACTATGTCCAGAGAACTTCCTGTTGCTTCTCATCCTGGCCAAACAGTAACACGAGTGACAATACCGGTTGAGCCTAATTATTTGGATCCAATACTGAATAGAAGTAATAACCGTACAGGCTCCAGATTTGCTCATAACCAACAAAATGGAGTTGGAAGATTAGATAGTGTAGGAAGTAGCACCGGTCTTATATCACCTCAAGGAAATATAAGTTCCCCTTCATCTCCTCCTGTGCTACCACCACCACCTCCACCACTCCCTCAACCACATCCGTCCTCACTTTATGTTAACGAAGAAGTATTAGCTTCTTTACCATTGGAGATGGAGCATAATAATAATAAAAGCCTTAGAAGAGCAATACAAAGGTACCTTGAATGTCAATTGCTTTTGTTATCAATTTCAATTCATTGTATTAATATCTTATATTTTTTTAGATCTTGTACAGACAGTAATTCTATATCTAATAGTGGTTCAGTATCTTTGGAACAAAGATCTGTTAATATGAGTTCAGAAGTCACTTCTCAAACAAAATCACCACTTTCAGTAGCAGCTTATATGAATGTAGATATTAATAGCGATATTAGTTTACTCTCTCCAACGCACAGCGTTTCCGACGCTTCGCAATTTAAGAAAGACAATGAATGTGGACACGCATACATGAATATAAGTCCCGGTCAAGAAAAAACAGAATCTTTTAGTAGTAGACAACGACCTTCGCCATTGCCATGTATTCAGTCTGAAATGGAAGAGGGAGTAAAACATTGTTATGCTAATCTAGAACCAAGTGAAATCGAAAGCCTAAGGAAACGATTTTCTGGAGTATCTGTAGCAGAAAAATCGCCTTTGCCTCCATCAACACCTACAGGTGGTCCAATTAGGGAAGTAAATTATGCTGTATTAGATCTGGACACAAAAGATGCATCGAGTGTTTCACCGTTAGACGGTCCTCCAAATTTTACTGCATCTCCTCCAGAGTCTCCAAATAAGCTACAGAAAGGATATGCAACGATAGATTTTAATAAAACGGCTGCTCTTTCTCATTCGGTTAACCCCAACCTTGTGAATGATAATGAAGGTTCAAGAAAAACGCGTCACAATTCTACGATTAGTGATTTAGCAGCTTCCGGTAGACGTAGTTCATCTGTAAGCGAATGATCAATTGTTTATTTTATGACTGTGCCTAAGTAACAAATATTAATAGCATTTTATAGGAGGTAACAAAGTTTTACTTGTTTGTTAATGATATGAAACCAAAGAACAGAAATTTAATTTATATATATTTTTTGTAATATTGATCAAGAAAAGTTTCAGTGTTATATATAAATCTAATGTTAAGCGACCCTTTATTTTTCATGGATTATCTTGCATTTCATTATTATGTAATAACACTTAGTTTTATATTTTATAAAGTTTTTAACGATGTGGTTACTACATCACAGTATTTTTAAAAAGTAAGTCTTTTTTCAAAGTGCTGTTAGGATGCACAAAAGAAACATCTTTTTTACATGATATACAAATATGTTTATAGAAAATTATAGGTAAAAATGACTTTTTACATTAAATATTATGGAGGAATTGGAAGCTAAAGTGCCCTAGTTTTTCCTGTATTGTAGGAATTGATGAGGCTCAAATAGTCTAACTGAAGTAAGAGCATAAAAGTATATGATGTTGTAACATAAAAAAAGGATGGTGATGATATACTATATAATTAAATAACTATTTTTAAAGTAGTTAACTTCAAACGCAATGATGGCTATAAAATCGTAAATTTGGAGTGATTTTAATAAGTGGTAAATATAAATATAAAATATGTATTTAGATATTATGTATATATATACATATATATGGACGTATAATTTTATGCTTTTTAACAAAAGATTGCCATTTTAATGGAACATTGTTGCACCATGTCTTTAGCTTCATATAGCTTATAATTATTTGCTTTATATATTAAATGATATATATTTTAGACTTGACCAAAATATATAAAAGAGACATTTAAATTATAGTAACACAATACATTTATAATATATGTCCTATAATAAATTATATATCTGTTTGGTAAAATATAATCTATAGAATTACTTCTTGTTATAGGAAGAAATGCGCAAAATTCTGTTCATTTGCACAAATTATTGTACTGAGTCAAAGTAGCAGACATTTGTTTAAAATTGTCTTGCACGAATTTTTAAAGTATCAGTACTGTTTTTCATTAAAAACAGTTGAGTCAACGAATAATACCGCATTTGTAACTCTATTTCTAATGTCTATAAAATCAGGCAACCTTTTCTTCCAATAGCTCCTAAAATGTTTGTAAAATGATAAATTTATAATAAATACAAATCTTAGTTTTTGTAAATAAGGAATATTTCTTTATTGGAGATACAAATCATTACATTTATGCAATATTTTACATATTTAAAATTTTATAAGAATATTTACTATAATTATTAGTAATTATAAAATAAATGTTTTAAAATTTGTTTTAAATTAGGTATATAATTTAAATGAAATTTTATGTAAATGAAAATGTATAAAAGAAGTTGGTATTATATTTTAGATTAATAAGTTTCATCTACAAACAGCCTACATTTTATAATGTAACATAGATTCAATTAATTTCGTATGAAATTGTATTTAAGAATTTAATTTAAATTAAATTTTATACAAATAAAGGAATGCCTATTTGAATTATTGTAGGAATAAACCCCGTAGACGACAATTTTGAAAGTCTAAAAATCATATGTATTAATATTTTAATTACAAAAATTACAGCAACAAAAATTCACTTCTGTTGCCGTAATAATTGAAGCCAGAGGTACTGAAACGCACCTCAGTGCTCCACCCTAATAAAAGGGCGTTCGGCATAGTGTGTCACTCTTTATATAGTCACGCGGAGTTGCGCAGTGCATAATTGCGCAGCGCACGCTTTCTGAAGCTGCGCGGGACGCAATAAATTACGCAATGGCGGCAATCAACCCAACCGGTACGATGAGTAAAGGATGTTTAGGTATTTTCTTCATATTTTCTTTCCCTTCTGTATTGTAGTACTATGAGGGATAAAACTGTTTTCACAATGATAAACTAATGCATAGAATTAATATAGAATTTAATGCTAGAAGTACTGACTAATTTATGAACAATGTTTTTTAGCTGCTACAGATCATCTTATACTAGTAAGGAAAACAACTGCATATTCGTTTTTATTATCAAGGCTTTATGTATGTATTCACCTTTTATACAATTTACACATACATTCGTGAACGCGTGTGTATAAACACGTGTCAATTTATCAATCATATCAATTTACATTGAGAAAGTAATTTATATTATAATATAATAATTGAACAATGCATAAGTCCATAATACTTAGCTTTTACTGTTGTGAACAAATATTTGTTGTAAACATAACATATATTATTTACAGTAAATACATAATGGAAAATAAATTTTAATGGGTAAAAATGTTATAAATTTCTAAGAATGGTTGTTTTTATTGAAAGTACAGTTATTCCAAAGGAAAAGCTGTTTTCTAGATTCAGGCAGTTTTAAGTAATTTCCTTACAAATATATACATATTTATATGTACTGTGCGTTCTTCAGTAAGTTTGTATAGAAACGCAAAGAAAGTACTCACAAAAACCACCATTGTTGTAATTTAAAGTTCTAATCAAATAAATTCTTTCTCAGTGTACATTGATCACATTTATTTATTTATATATTTGTTTTATTGATATAGAAGAAATTCCTTTAATTAAGGCAATCGTTTCAATTAAGTGATCGCTAAAAATTGTTAGACTATAACAAGTGTTTTATCTAATCGGCGTTTAGCATTTCACTAATTACTCTTAGTACTAAGATTCTGACTACGAAAAATTGATAATTTTATTTGATACAAAAACGATTTGTGCCCTATTTGGTAAAGAGCTGTTTTTGCTCGAGTCAATATCAAATATGGAGGAGCGTTTACATAGAATGAGCCAAAAGGCAGTGTTTCGCCCTAATCAGTTTCCAATAATTATCTCTCAACACTAATACATCATAATATGATAGCAGATTACTGCAAATATTTATTTTTTTCTATAATACAAATATGGTTTCATGTTTTGTTCAATTAAATATTTTGAAAATGAACCATTTATCATATTCAACTGAAAATTTTTTGTAACATTGTGTTTACAAAAAAAGGTATTCTGCTATATTATACATTTCTAAGAGGTAATATTTAATACTGTTCGACTTTTATATTGAAGGTACAAACAATTAACAATTAAAGGTACCAAATAACAAATATTAATATATATAAAATGGAATGCAATTCATAAATACATATAAGAGTTTACATAGAATCCAAGAATTTGAACAAAACCTAGAGAGAATCTAGAGGGATTAAATAATTTCTGAACTTCATGTAAGCTTAAATATATATCATTCTGTAAATAGTATGCAATCATCAGACCTTTCATGTCATTTTTCTTGCATTTACATACATACATTTTTTCCTTTTTTATCCAATCAATGTATGAAGTCATACTCCATCCACAGTTTCTTTGGTTATTATATATTGACCCATATAACAGTAAAAACAGCAATAACAATCGATATTACAATAATATTAATGTTCAGATACGGTAACAAGAAATTTAAACCAAGCAACCCTTTATTCATTTTGATGAAATGTAATAGATAGTACTGCATTAAGTGGAGGATATGTTAAGTAAAATTATTTTAACTGCAGAGAAAGTTCAAATTGAACAGAATGTTTTGGAATGGTGGATTTAAATACCTTTGAATAGAATGGTATAAAACTGAAATATTTTTTAGTGCTCTATCATATTAAATTCATCAAAATGGAAAAGTGTCATTTGGTCAACATTCCTCTAACAATAGGTTGTGCCTTACATGAGGCACGTGTAACTGGGGACTATCTGAATAAACCAAATATTTTTATTGGGAATAGAGTTCAGTATTTTACATTTACTTTGTCCTAAGCGTATGATATTGACAGACATTACTTTCCAATGGAATTTATAAAATACTGTTGAAACAAAACCTATAGGAACAACTGTAGAAACCATGCAATCTGCATGAATGGCATGAACGACAATATACAGATTCAGTGACAGTGAAGAAACAACTAAAGTTGTTTTAAATATTCCAATGATGCAGGTAATTTAGGAGATGTAGTCTGAAGAAAATGGCTGACAAGTGTTCTGAAACTGGTGAACCAAATAGTAGTATACAGAAGAAAATATATTTTGCTATTGAAGTAGGTACCTTGCTGAATACCATGCATAATAGTTCAGTGTTATTGTAAACTTTTGTTGTACGCTTAATGTATTTAATATATTATAGATAAAACAAGACCTATAACCTCTATAACTTCAATTAAGTCATTGGCACTGCTGAATATCACATATATTAAATCATAGGACATAAATAGTTTTCTGTTGTGATCAGGTTTAGTTTGCAGGACTATTACTATTTCTAAATAATATTATAACCATGGTACAAGGTCCAAACATCTATGGCACATTAAATATCAGTAGATATAAAAATGTCAAACAACAGAGTTGCAAAACAATTGCTGCAAAGTATTGTTGTAACTTCGTCTGTAGAATAGAAACGATTTAAAAAATATTTTGCACCCGACAACTCCTTAAATGCTATTTTATATCTGTAATTTGTGCGATTATTATAAATATGTACGCGTGACAAGTGATAAATGTACATGTTCCAATAACGAGACAATGACGATGCTAATGTTCAATAATATCAAAAGTTCTCTACACCCCAATTATTTAAGTGATGAAAAATGTTAAAACTTAATAACTTCACACAATTACTGTGTTCATTATTTTATCCTACTGCAATGTACACGTTTACTTTTCAATTCGAAAATCTGCGTTACCAGTACGGTTACATGTCAACTTACGATACAAAACCTTGATTATTATAAATGTTCTCTCATAAACTGTTTTCTGAATTGCCAAAGCTTTGAATCTAACCTTCGATAACACGCAAACAAACGTTTATGATTATACGTCAATTAAGTTTCACGTCTTGGATGAGGTCGGGTACACTTTTGAAGTGCATGCTCTCCAAGTAAAGTCGACGATTACGTCGGTTCTGCGTTTCCTCCAACTGCAACGTTTCAACGTAGAACGGCCATTCGGCTGCCATTGAATACGAATTGTTTCGAATAAGCTGACGTCGAGGTGACCGCCGTACTTGAAGACTGCGAACCAGCGGATGCCATACTGCCGCCACGCTATACTAACTAGCGTTCGTTGGAGATCCCGGGTCCTCCGTTTGCGTGGCGGCATCCCTAACTGCAACAACATTCTCACATTAAACTATTGTTATTAATTAATTGTAGTATAACATGCAAGAATAATATTGTACTAAAAATGTTTATCTGATTGTTAAGACTTATTTATGTACATATGTGTACTGTACATGTATATTGTATATGTATATTGTATAAGTATATTGTATATGTATAATGTATATGTAGATTGTATAAGTATATTGTATATGTATAATGTATATGTACATTATGTATGTACATTGTATATGTAGATTGTATTAGTATATTGTATAAGTATATTGCATATGAATAATGTACATGTACATTGTATAAGTATATTGTATATGTATAATGTATATGTACATTGTACAAGTATATTGTATATGTATAACGTACATGTATATTGCATATGTAGATTGTATTAGTATATTGTATAAGTATATTGTATATAAATAATGTACATGTACATTGTACAAGTATATTGTATATGTATAATGTATATGTATATTGCATATGTAGATTGTATTAGTATATTGTATATGAATAATATACATGTACATTGTACAAGTATATTGTATATGTATAATGTATATGTACATTGTACAAGCATAATGTATATGTATATTGCATATGTAGATTGTATTAGTATATTGTATATGGATAATGTACAAGTATATTGTATATGTATAAGGTATATGTACATTATGTATGTAGACTGTATTAGTATATTGTATCTGTATAATGTATATGTACATGTATACACATGTATTGTATCTTATGTATATATTCAGTACATCATTTTAATATTGCTATAGAAAAAGTTAGCACATGTATACCTCACGTAGGCGCAGTATCACTGTGTAGTGGATGTCCAGTTTCCCAAGGAAGCGATGCTGGAGCATTGGATAATGATAAAGAGGAACACCGAGCCATCGAATATCGATCTATTGAGCATCGTTCTAAGCCTACAACAATTCACATCGGTGCAAATAATAATTACACAAAAATGTGTGTAGGTTGATGCATTTTACTTGTTTATAACAAAAATTCTGCAAAATTTATCAAGTTGTTTTATTAACCCAATCCCAGAACTTTATGAAATGCCTCTGTATTATTAAGCGACGATAAAAATAGTAATTTAATTATGCTGCGAGTAATATGATGAAATGCAAAGGCTATAACGGCAGGAGTGCACGAGAGCCGTTACATACTGCACATAATTTTGTGGCAAATTTTGCGGACATCCATGTGTCATACTAAATTTCTTGTTATGTACCTGATAAATCAACTCCCACCATACTGCAAACATCAAGACCACCTGTGCTAGTTGCGCAGCAGTGCTGTTTCGGTCCCAATGGTTTTGGCCTACAAAATACCTACGCAAACAAAACCGCTTGCATTTACATTATTTGCCAGAAATAAAGCCACTTATTTCGAAATATTAAAAAATATAAAACTACTGTACTTAACCAATTTACCAAAAACAATTTAAAGGTTAGTTTGAAAGAATAATGCTCACTTTAGTATAAAGAAGCTCCCTCGAAATGCGACGAAAATGATTGTTGAGCAACCAGTAAAGAAACGGATTCCAGAAGCTGTTTGAAAGCGCGAGCCACGTGGCGAGAAAGTCAAGAAATGGCGGAGGTTTGCTTCCGGTGCAAGCTGCAACGACTTCCTGGATCGTCCATGGTGTGACCATAACAATGAATCCTAAACTCATTGCGGCCATTGTTCGCGAAGCAGAAGTGGATAATCGTCTTTCTTGAGCTACGAGCTGAAACGTGTACACAGTGAATATACTTGAAGGCCATACACCAAGCGTGATAAGTTTCCCTAGAAAAAACAGCGACTTTGGGGGAAGGAAGCTCCTTCGTTTCTTGCTTTCTGAGTGAGACATTTTCATGAGTGGGAAGTTGGGGTTTGGGACTTCGGAGGGTTTGGACGTTTGAGGATTTGGGACTTTGGAGAATTTGGACGTTTGAGGATTTGGGACTTTGGAGAATTTGGACGTTTGAGGATTTGGGACTTTGGGGAATTTGGACGTTTGAGGATTTAGGACTTTGGAGGGTTTGGACGTTTGAGGATTTGCGACTTTAGAGAATTTGGACGTTTGAGGATTTGGGACTTTGGAGGGTTTGGACGTTTGAGGATTTGGGACTTTGGAGAATTTGGATGTTTGAGGATTTGGGACTTTGGAGGGTTTGGACGTTTGAGGATTTGGGACTTTGGAGAATTTGGACGTTTGAGGATTTGGAACTTTGGAGAATTTGGACGTTTGAGGATTTGGGACTTTGGGGAATTTGGACGTTTGAGGATTTGGGACTTCGAAGGATTTGGACGTTGGAGGATTTGGGACTTTGAAGAATTTAGACATTTGAAGACTTGGAACCTTAAAGACTTTAGACATTTGAAGATTTGGAACCTTGAAGAATTTAGACATTTAAAGACTCGGTGAACCTTGAAGACTTATAACTTTAAGGATTTGTGACTTCGCAGAATGTGGACATTTGAGGATTTGGAACCTTGAAGACTTATAACTTTCAGGATTTGTAACTTTGTAGGATTTGAAACCTTTAGGATATAAAACAGGGAGGATTCAGTCCTTTGAAGATTTCAACCTTCTTAGAGCTTAAACATTTGCAGACATCAAGGAAATTCACAAGCACTGTATTTTAAACATAATAACCTTGCTAATTATTTAAAGATTAATTTAAAGGAATTTGTATTTGAGCTTAAAAAGGAACTATGACCTTCAGTATTATCAAAGTCTGGAATAAGAAGGATTTTAGCGTCTAAAAGGTAGAACGTCTAGTCGATTCGTCTTTTAGACCAACTTGACACGGTTCCGAAAGTCGCAAAGCGCTAAGCTCGTCAGCGTCAAAGCCTCTCATCGTGCGACAGTAAAAGGATTACGGATCTGCTCGTTTAGACGAATCCTTCCTCTTTCGTTCTCTCCTGATACCCTCCACATTTTCTTTTTCTACCACCACTGCCACCTTATATTTCTTTCACTCCTATATTTTATTTCTCACTTACCATTTGCTTTCTACCAAAATGGCTTTTAAGAGTTGCATTTTCTCTTTCCAAATTACGAGTTCTCTTTTCATGAAACAATTACAACGTTGATGATTTATTTGTAAGGCTCATGGTAATTTCAGTACCTTAAGACTAACTTTTTGAAACTCGTTTTGTATATATTTTAATTTAACCAAACCTAACCTAACCTGATGATGTTGTCAGTCAGTGACGTTGGGAGCCACAGTTTGGGAACCTCTGCTTCAGAGGATAGTGAAGCTTTCACGGCTGGGTTTGTCACATTTAACATCGTTACACTTAATACTGTTATACTTAACAGTATTTCTCTAACACTGTTTGATATCTCCGAGTGCAAACTGTCCTTAACGTTTTCAGCTCACTGGCTATATTTTTGTAACTACTGTAAATTCACAGCAAATAATTTGATTGACCAGTTACAATTAAGACATTATCTTTTTAAGGTCAATAATAGTCCCTTCGTAAGTGATCAGACAGCTACCACTTTGGTAATTGATCAGTTTTTTCAAAATACCTCCCTCGATAACATTGTAAATTTACAGCAAATAATTTATTGACCAGTTAGAAAGAGAACATTATCTTTTTAAAGCCAATATTAGGTCTCCCTTCGTAAGTGATCGGGTTCAGACAGCTCCCGTTTGATAATTGATCAGTTCTTTCAAAATACCTCCCTTGATAAGACTGTAAATTTACAGCAAATGACCAGTTACAATTAGAACATCTTTTTAAGCTAATAATAGTCCTCCCTTCGTAAGTGATCGAGTTCAGACAGCTACCACTTTGGTAATTGATCAGTTCTTTCAAAATATATCCCTTAATAACACTGTATATTTACAGCAAATACTTTATTGACCAGTTAGAAAGAGAACATTATCTTTTTAAAGCCAATAATAGTCCTCCCTTCGTAAGTGATCAGGTTCAGACAGCTACTTGGTAATTGATCAGTTCTCTCAAAACCTCCCTCGATAACTGAGCAGTTTTCCAGCTTCTTCGAACTGAACTTCCACCTCTTCAGAACTGATCAATCTTCCAGCAGTGCAATTTTTCAAAATTTCTCATAACTGATCGATCCTAAACTACCTCCCTCGACAACTGATCGATCTCCCAAAACTTTCATATCCATTATATCGAATCGAAAAAATGTGTACAATTAAAAAGGATAGTAATTGGTGAAATGGTATGATTAATATATTATCTAAGAAAAAATCGTGTCTGGTTGAAGTCGCGAAGGAATTCGAACTCATTCAAGTGAATTCACTTTAGTCTTCCAATAATTCCATGCTGTAACCGCGTCGCGCACTTAACCTAGTTTACTTCGATGTCCCGAGGTCTTGGTGAATACGCTTCGAAAAGCGTGTGCGAAAGGAGGTAATGACCCGTGGATTTTCGGTCGATTACGAACTCTTCCTTCGACGCTAATTATTTTCTACGTTATAGGAAAAACGATATACATCGCTTCCTTACAACTTATTTATGCTGATCGGTAATTGGCTGGCATTACGAAATTATCTCTTCAACCAGTTACTCTTATTTACTCGGGAAATTCATGCAGTCACTTGAAGATTTATATTTTTCAAGCTTTTTTCATTCTGGGGCAACTGTTAGGGGTAAGTGGATCATCTTGAGAATTTTATCAAATCTAGTTACTTTTTTACAAATAAAAATTAACAAGCTTCCTTATTCTTTTCTTTTCAACTTTTCAACGCCGTAAAATTGATAAGAATACCTCGAAAGACAACATTAGTAACAGAAAATTTATTACAACTATATTCCAAATTATTGAAGATTGACGTGAAAGTAGATTTGCTCGATTTGAATTTCCCGCTCGTTTGTACGAGCAATTTAAAAGGACAGTTTTCGAGAGATCAAAGTAGTATAATCTCTCAGGTGAGATTAACACTCTCGAAAGCTTCCATTAAAAATAAACTGGACTTACCCTCTCCATGTGTCCGCCATTAACCACCTCCGAAGTGTTAACGCAGACCACTCTTTTAAGACGCAGTTTGTTAACGTGGAAGGCGGAGCCGTAGCAATACATCAGCACCATAGTCGTAGGAAAATAAAAACAGCAGCAGGCGAGGATCCTGAAAATCAAGATAAAGGAGCAAACTGAACAAAAAGCGTACAAGTTTTTCTCGGTGAAAGTATACTTCCTATGACCCGTTAAGTTATGGTCCAAGACACTATACTTATGTCCACATTTCAAATGTTATCGCATAGTAAAGTTATAGTGCGAAGGGGGTTGTGTCATACGGAAGAGAAAGGACGCCATTTTGTGACAAGTTATAAACGACTCGTGCCTAGTGGACTTAAAGCAGGATATATATTTCTGGTTTTTAGTTCTGTTTTTCTTTCTGACGGTAAACGATGCTGAGTCCATCTTCTTTTGTGACATGAACTCATGGCTTGCTGGGGAAAAAATGAGGGCGACGGTGGGGGGAGTACTTGTGACACGCGCACGTAACAGATTGAAACATAAATTCGGGGAAATTTTTTTGATTTTAGTGATGGGGAGTTGGTTTTTGGGGAATTGGGGATTTGGGGATTGGGAAGTTAGGGAATTGGAAATTTAGAAATTTGGGAATTGGGAAATTAAGGAATTGGGGAGGTGGGAAATTAGGGAATTTGAGAATTAGGAAATTAGGGAATTGGGAAATTAAGGAATTGGGGAGGTGGGAAATTGGGAAATTAGGGAATTGGGAAATTGAGGGATTGGGAAATTAAGGAATTGGGAAGGTGGGGAATTGGGAAATTAGGGAATTTGGGAATTAGGGAATTGGGAAATTAGGGAATTGGGAAATTAGGGAATTGGGAAATTGAGGAATTGGGAAATTAAGGAATTGGGAAATTGGGGAGATGGGGAATTGGGAAATTGGGGATTTAAGGATATGGGAAATTAGGAAACCGGGAATTTAAGAATATGGAAATTTAGGAAATGGGGAAATTATTAAATTGGGGATTTCAGAATTTGGGAAATTAGCAAACGGAGAAATTAGTAAATTTGGGAATTTGGAAACTCTGACTTCTACAATTTGGAAATTTGAAATTTTCGAAATCTAGAAATTATAAAAACGTCCCCCAAATTCCTTCCAACAACCATAAAAAATTTCACCACAAATTTTACTCACAAAAACCTCCATAACCTCCCAATATTAAAATCCGAACGTCCCCTAAAAATTGAAAAAGAACAGTGGACAAACGTCCAAGCGTAATTGATTAAACGTTTATTTTTAATTATAAAAGGCAAATGATCGTAATGGATTAACAAAGCGTCAGAAGCGTGTATTATATTAATTCACTCTGTGCAGTATCCATATGATTTAATTTTTCATCAAATAAAACGCTAAACAAAATGAAATTAATGAACAAACGAATGTTGTATTTCCAACGGAAACAAGACAGAAAACAGAAAGCCATTTGTGTCAGGAAGAAAGGAAGAACATAATGGTTTTATTCCACAATATTTCTCTTGTTTCTGTTCATTCGTTCTCTGTTTTCGTCGTTGCTCAACCACTTTTTCATGCATACGTTTCTCTCTTTGCGCGCATTCTGTTTCAATTATTTATTCGTTCGCACATTGATACATGCGTTGGACACGTTTTTTAATCCGGGTGAATTTATTACATTTAATTTAGCGGAAAACTTTTCAAGCGGGTCTTTGTGGATCTGGTGGATTAAGGGGACTTTAGTGCGTGTTAGGTGCGCGGTAGAAACGGTGATTTTTTGAAATTTTGGGAATTTGGGAATTTTTGATATTTTGGAGAATTTGGAAATTTTGGGGAATTTTGGAAATTTGAGAATTTGGGAATTTCGAGATTTAGGGATTTTTGAGTTTGGGAATTTTTAGATTTAGGGATTTGAGAATTTGGGAATTTTAAGATTTAGGGGTTTGAGTATTTGGAAATTTGAGAATTTGAAAATTTCGAGATTTCTAAATTTGAGAATTTGGGAATTTTGAGATTTAGGGATTTTTGAGTTTGGGAATTTTGAGAATCAGGAATTCGAGAATTTGGGAATTTTGAGATTTAGGGATTTGAGAATTTGGAAATTTCAAGATTTCTAAATTTGAGAATTTGGGAATTTTGAGATTTAGGGATTTTTGAGTTTGGGAATTTTGAGAATCAGGAATTCGAGAATTTGGGAATTTTGAGATTTAGGGATTTGAGTATTTGGAAATTTGAGAATTTGGAAATTTTGAAATTTCAAAATTTGAGGATTTAGGAATTTCGAGATTCAGGGATTTTTGAGTTTGAGAATTTTGAAAATTAGGGATTTAAGAATTTGGGAATTTTTAGATTTAACCATTTGAGGTTTTGAGATTTTGAAAATTTGAGAACTTTGAAAGTTCAGAATTTGATCGTTTGGGAATTTTGAGATCTAGGGGTTTAAGAATTTGGGAATTTAAAAATTTAGGAATTTTGAGACTGAAAGATTTGAAAATTTGAAGATTTGTAAACCTTAATAATTTGAGTCTTAACAATATAGAAATTTTTAAATATCTTTATTTGAGAACATAGGAATTTTTATATAACCCTATACAAGAAATTATTAATTCAAAAATGCATGCTTTAAAATATTTGAAATATTCATGTCAGAATCGGTCCACCATTACAATTGTCTCTAGTGACTAAATCCAGTTCTGTTCAAAAATAGAAAATACATAAAAATTGTTGTTTAAATAAATACCTAAGCGAAGCTCTGGCAAAAAAGGGGTCACACGCCAGGAGGCCAGAGTTGTTGAAGTAGTATCCGCCTCTAGGGAGCACTAGAGCACCAAAAATCGCCATACTCGCTATCCATGTAGTTGACATCACTGTCACGCAACCCTGCCGCATGTAATACTGCGTCACATACACAGAAAACCATCATTCTTCTATTTTTCTTTTCAACGGTTTGCGTACATAAAATATTTCCTCAAAATATCAAATTTTTGAAAAAATTCCTATAATCAATTTAATAGAATTCCCTGATTAAAATTTTTCTTTGAGAAATTACAAAAGATCCTAATTCCGAGTTTAAACCCCGTACGAGTTCTAAGCTTCTTATCTTACCCAAACTCTTGTCTGAATGTTCGAGTTTTATGTTCACTTACGCTTGAACGATTTTACGAGCCCACTTTATCTGCGAATTCAATTGTACAGCGGCGAGGACACTAAAGTTCGGTAAAAAACATTTACTTGGACGTTTAACAGTGAGTTGTATAACTTCAACTCTTCTGTAAAATGGTATCGATGGATTTTTTGTTCCGAGTGCCATCTTGTCAGACGCGTGCACTGCTACGCAAAATTTAAACTTATGTTCTTTTAAACTTGTATTCTATTATAGAAATAAAATGTTGTACTAAAAAATACTTTTGTGTAAAAATTTTTTTGTCCGCCATTTTGTTCGATGTCAAAAATGCACTTAATTTAAAATACACCGAAATTTAAGATACACATATATTTTTTGAAACATGTGTCCTATTATTTAAATAAAATATTTTTGTACTAAGAAATACTTTTGTGTAAAAATTTCGTTGTCCGCCATTTTGTCCGTTGAAGAGAACCACAGACAATATGTCTACCAAATAAAGCTCGTTTTAAAATGAATACTAAACCAAACACTCGACTCGCGTCAACCAGCATAATGAGTAGCAACTCAAATACTCAGCGGAGTGGTCGGCTCTCGCTCTATATCGCCTTTTTTTATACGGAAGACTACAGTGGCCGACAGTGTGTACGCTTAAATAGTTCCGTGTTCTTTCTGTCCACAATTGGATAATGATGTCGCACTGGGGCGCTTTGAAGTCAAATCAAACATCAATTTTTCATCATATTTGGTTAATTAGCTAAGCTTACACGCAATTAACTGAACAAATTCGTTAACATGTTTGCGTGTGTCTAATGTTTGATTGAATCGAGATTCACGGTGCGGGCAGTGATTCTCATTACTCTGCCCACATGCGAGAGCTACGTGTAAATACCTGCTTGTTTATTTCATGTTTAAATGGAGACGTCAGTTGTTACGGAGGTTATGATTAAATTCATGGAAATTTCTTTTTAAGGAAAATTTTGGTTAAGTTAGATATATATTTTTATATAGAAATATAGTTTTATGTAGAAAATTACTAGGTGAATTTTTGTGAGCGCAGAATGTCTGAGAAACAGTGTTAATACTTTTATTCGAAGGTATTCAACATGGCGTCTTGGGACAACTCACACTTCCATTGCTTTCATTTATGTAATTCAAGGTATTTAACATTATATTTTTGCTAGAAATTTGTGTAATATAAAGGAGATATTTAATAAGAAAAATTATACTGCAAAATAGTTGTAAATGTAACGATAAATTCGATAATAAAAAGATTTGACGTCCGCCATTGTTAATCACCCGTGTCACGTGACAGCGCGCGTAATTTGAAATACATAACATACCCAAATCAGTAAATCACTACTTATCGTTTGTATAATGAATAAATTATTAATGATTATGACTTTTTTTATTCCCTGTACCATCCGCAATTAATATTAATCAACAAAACTTATTTAAAATTGAAATGCAAAAATAAAATATACGCCATGTTATCGAATAAATCACATCTTTCGGTTGACTACGTATCGATAGAATATCAATAATTAAAGCGAACAAAAACTCAGCGATGAAAATTATGAAGCATCGTCGAGTTCTATTTTGATCGAGATAAAAAAAGAGGACAGCATAGATCGGCGAATATTCAATTGGCGAGGCATTACGAACTGAATAGACTAGAGGAGTCAGCAAATTGTTAAATCATGCATTCAACCTTCGTCATTCATCTTCTACATAGAAATGTATTTTTCTTAAATCGTCGATATTAAGTTGCATTATCTTGATTGTAAATAAATTAGCAGTATGCAATATATGAAGTTGGGGACAAAGGAAATGTTTCATTGTCCCTCTGAACCGATGAGTTCAACTTTAATATCATATTTAACCTTTTTGCAAAAAAAACAGAGTACTGTGTGTGCCTTACAAGAAGTCATGTGAAGGAAACACAAAGATAATTGGTCAGAAATACACCAAATTCGATACAGTCATATATTTTTATAATATAGTAAGATATTATTGGTTAAAGCAACGTATAGACCAATTACGCTCCGCGAGACTTCTTGTGAGCAAGGCGCACGAGTCGTTAATTAACTTTTTGTTCGAATTCCACCGAAGAAACGAGTTTTTGCTGAGACAAAAATACCCTGTCAAGAGATTGGAAGATGAAATATATATTTTTAACGTGTTTTATGTCAAAGTGTCAATACATCTTTATGTCGTTCAGAAATATCAAGTTCTTGCTTCGATACCCACCGTGGATAGAAAGTGTGGTTCTCTTTCGGTGGCTAGTTCAAAGGCAATGCCATCAATCATACCGTGACGATAACAACATGTCGATAAATGTGATTTGTCTGCCGGGTCGAAATCGTCCTCCTGTGTCATCAATAGCTACCGCAACGGAGACAACTGTGCGCATACGTGTGTGAAAAGAAATGTTGGACGCCATTTGTATATATGTCAGTGTCGTTTAGTTATCTGGGAATGTCGGGAAGTATTATTAACTAAAGGAAACCTGTGTACTCTGAAATGTGATTAGAGGAGACAACTGATATGGTACACAGAATTATAACCTGGTATTTAACACTGTCCCGGCTGTGTAATATTACACATTCCACAGCGAAGCCTGTCTTTGAGATCTCATATAATCGCTCAAGCGTAAAATATCACGAAATCCGATTGCAGGAACAACGCTGTGAGGACAAACAGAAAGAGAATTGAGCTCGGTGCAGTGCCGTAGAAAAATTCGATCAGTGTGCTTTGTGCAGTATATCGCAGCGGTATATCAAACTCCGAATCATAATAATTTTCAAAATTTTCAATTTATTTTGAAATTATTGATAAATGAATTATCACGTTTACACCTCTATATAAAAGATAATATTGGACTCCTTCAAATTTTATATAAACGATAAAAACGTGTATATACAGTACTCTCGTTATATTGCCGATTTCATATATACGTATATTAATAGTGTTTTTGCATCGACAGGCTTTTCAGAGGACAACCATAATACAAAAGAAGAAAATTTAACAACTTTTAACCAGAGTTGATTTATTAAATTTTGATAGATCGGTAACATACCTTCTTAGAAGCGTGCTTATGATAATGATGAGGATGCAGCATACAAACGTAACGATCAATTGCCATGCAGATGAGGATAACGGCACTTTGTTGAGTTAAAGCTCCTCTAAGAAGTGCCTGAAACAATCAAATATTTCGAAACGTGACGAAAGCGTTCATAACCTCGTTCGATTAAAATTTCGTTGGGATATAGGGATTTTGACACGTGACAATTTCAGGACATAAAAATTTTGGAATCTAGGGATTTTGGGGCTTAGGAATATTGGAATCTAGGGATTTTGGGACTTAGGGAATTTGGCACGTAGCAATTTCGGGAAATAGGGATTTTGGAACCTAGGGATTTCGGGACATAGGGATATTGGAACCTAGGGGTTTAGGGACATAGGGATTTTGACACGTAGCAATTTCGGGACATAAGAATATTGGAACCTAGGGATTTTGACACGTAGCAATTTCGGGACATAAGAATATTGGAACCTAGGGATTTTGACACGTAGCAATTTCGGGACATAAGAATATTGGAACCTAGGGATTTTGACACGTAGCAATTTCGGGACATAAGAATATTGGAACCTAGGGATTTTGACACGTAGCAATTTCGGGACATAAGAATATTGGAACCTAGGGATTTTGACACGTAGCAATTTCGGGACATAAGAATATTGGAACCTAGGGATTTTGACACGTAGCAATTTCGGGACATAAGAATATTGGAACCTAGGGATTTTGACACGTAGCAATTTCGGGGCATAAAGATTTTGGAACCTAGGGATTTCGGGACATAGGAATATTGGAACCTAGGGATTTTGAGATATAGGGAATTTGACACGTAGCAATTTCGAGACACACAGATATTGGAACCTAGGGATTTTGGGTCGTAGGTACTTTCATGTGTACAAATATCAGGGTGTACAGATTATGAGACATAAGAAGTTAGGCACATAGTGATTTTAGCGCATAAGGATTGTGGCCCATAGAGATATCAGGACGTAGACATATCGAGACCGTCTAGGGACATACAACGGATCTCGGGTAATATAGATTTCGACATATAGGAACTATTTAATTAAGAAGTTTGTAAATTCGATAGTAGATATTTAAATTAATTAATTTCCAAGCTTGCATATCGACTCCAAAATGGAAGACAAGTGATGGGAGGCGCTACCGCCTTTAGCCCGAAGGAAGCCAACGTCGTACCCGAGTGTACTCGAACTTTTCCCATCTCTGATAGCACGATGCTCTTTATGAACCGCCCTACTTCAAAACTCTTTTATATCTGCATTTATTATCGGCGTTAATTCTTTATACCGGCATCAAGAAAATTTATAACAATATCCACACGAAATACCTGTTCGCAAAAGTTTATACGAAACACTTGCTAGCAACATTGTTCCTAAAATACCTGAAGAGAATATTTTGACAATGAGATCCGATGAGTCAGCAAGGCCAGGTGTCAATAAAGCGGCGGCCAGAAGGAAAGAGTGCGAAGCAAAAGATGTCGGGGAGTAGTATTCGTTTAAGATGGTTGTCATGGTGACCATTGGCGTAAAGCCAGGAAAACGGTCTGATAATCTGAAGAGGTTAGAGTCGCCCTGGCTTCGTTTCAACCTATCCTCGAAACATTCCCGAGAGACCTTAACCGAATATTTTCCCCACAAACGAACTTACTCGATTGTACCTCCGAGCGATTTAGACCCGTTCACTTTGTATGATGCTTTGGATGACCGCTACCTAACCTAACCTTCTCTCGAGTGCCTTCTTTCCGAGCATTTACTATGTTTACTTCGTTGTATTTAAATTGTATTTCAAATGAAATAATTTAAAGTAATCGATGGGTTTGTGTGATGCTTTGGATGATCGCTACCTAACCTAACTTCTCTCGAATGCCTTCTTTCCAGCCATACACTGTTTTCACCTCGTTTAACATAAAATTGTAGTTAGAATAAAATAATTTGATGAGGTATGGGAGAACACCTTCAGGAATGGATGGATTTGTATGATGCTTCAGATGACTGCTACCTAACCTAACTTCTCTCGAATGCTTTCTTTCCGGGTATTTACTATGTTTACCTCGTTGTATTTAAATTGTATGTCAAGTAAAATAATTTAAAGTAATCGATGGGTTTGTGTGATGCTTTGGATGATCGCCACCTAACCTAACTTCTCTCGAATGCCTTCTTTCCAGCCATACACTGTTTTCACCTCGTTTAACATAAAATTGTAGTTAAAATAAAATAATTTAATGAGGTATGGAAGAATACCCTCAGGAATTGATGGATTTGCAGAAATATTAAATATAGTGGTGTTTGAAGAAAAATGGCGATATAAGAAAAGGTGCATAAATGTAATGTATTACATTGTAATGCACTTTGAAGAAACGTATAAATTCTGAAGAAAAGTATAAATTTTGAAGAAATGCATAAATCTTGAAGAAAGTGTAAATTTTGAAAAAAGTGTAAATTTTGGAGAAGTGTATAAACCTTGAAGAAATAAATAAATTATGAAGAAATAATCTGTGTGTTAATTCGTTTGTTACGTGTTACGTGAAGAGAACAGTATTCGATCCATTGGATTTCTGGAGCGGGAGTCCGGATCTTCCGTTTATCGGGCGACTGCCTAACCATTAAGCTATCCAGGCCGTCGGCGAATATTCTCTCCGTAGCTCTTAAGACTCAAATGGTTGCCACCTACAGTTTATTGATCGTGAATCTCGGATAACCGATAACACGGAAGTAAACGTTGCTCGAACAACTTCAGGAAGCAGGCGAAGGTGATAGAATAGTTTAGGGCGCAGAAATTGCGATACTTCGACGCATAAGTAAATCAGTACCTTTCTAAAACCACTCTCTACGCTGTAAGACAGCCAGAGAGTTGGCTAGTGGTTGTAATGTAACGATTTTCGGTAGAAACGATTCCGCACACCGATTAGGATACAACGATATAACAAGAGACACTAGACAAGGAAACCTAGAGAGAGACAGAGAATAAATGTCAGTCACATAGTTCATTATCATTTTATTATTAATTTTCGTTATAATTTGCCTATACAAAAGTGTCCGGAGCTTCCGCTCGCCGGCTCTCGATTTGCAGCACGTTCGAAGTCCCCGAACGAACTTATATCGAAAAAAAACCAACGGTGATTCTTTCGCCGGGTTACACAAAGAGAACGCCGCGAACCACTCCACACGTGTCTTCTTTTCACACGTACACGAGCGCGCACGTGTGCCCGCGTCCAGGCAACGGAGACAGCTACGCTTTTGACTATGTATGAAAAGAAAACAAGCGCGGCATGTTTGGCGCCACTTCCTTTGTATAACGTTGCGAGGGAATCATCTTCCGTGAAGAAAGAAATCCTTTACGTTGCGATTAAAAGATAAAGAGCGCCCCTTTTCAACCGTTGGATTTTTTCGACACTTTGTTTCGCTATTGTGTTTCTGCAGTTTTTAACTTGCAGTTCTCGAATTATGGAATTTCGAAGTGTCATGATTAAATTCTGTGGAATAGCGCTGATTTGAGGTGAAATGTTCAAATTCTTAAAATCTCATGATCCCACGTAGTTAAAATGAAATTTGACTATTTAAATATTATTACTTTGCCTTAATAGGAATACGTATAATTGTGCCTCATCGAAGAAATTACTTGGTCATTGTAATTTTCTGAAGCAAATAGACGACGGCGATAATTATGATGAGAATCACTTCAAGTATTGATTAAGAGTCTCTCAATTCGCTCGATTTTAAAGAGTTGAGAAATCGAACGTACCTTAACTATTCATAACAGTTTCAGTTTTAACTTAAAAAATATCTATACTGCAACTTCTGTTTCAATTTACTAGTTATTATTACTGTTATATCACCAGATGCACATATACAGGGTGTCTCACAATCAGTATGTGTCCCTGAAATGGTTAGGTGATATGATTCTGAATAATATTTCCCTTTGCGAAAATGGGATTGGAAGCTTCGTTTTTGAGTTATTAAGGAAAAACACTGGACCAATCAGAGCGCGGCGCGAGCGCAGACGCGAGTGCGCAGCTTCGAGTCTAGCGTCTGCGCATGCGCAATCCTCGTGCTGTGATTGGTCCGGTGTTTTTCCTTAATAATTCAAAAACGAAGCTTCCAATCCCATTTTCGCAAAGGGAAATTTTGTTCAGAATTAGTTACCCCATGGACCTACACTAGTTATGAGACACCCTGTATAGCAAGAGTGTTAAAATAAACATTCTACAAAGTTGCTACTGTCACGAATCCAGATATACCGTAGAGATAGAAAGTAAGTACGAAAGTAAATATGACAGAAAGCAGCTAAGAATTGAAGAAAATTTCCCAAGAACCGTATCCATAAAACATTACGCCCAGGCGATCTCTTGTTATGTATTCGAGTGAACTTAACGAATTCCGCTGGAATTAACTCCGCAAACGAGTTAACGAATCCGGCAATTCAGTTTGAAAAGCTAATAAACGCCGCTACGGTGCCTAGAGAATTGCTATGAAATTTGAACGAAGTAGCTGCGTAGATTAAAGGGGAAGCAGACAACGGGTAACCACCGGAAGGCACTCGAATAAAAATTGAAATGATATCCTATCTAATGGAACGGATCGAACAGTCGCTAATCCGTTGCGAATAAATAATCGACACGATTGCCTGCTGGAACGTAACGATCATCCTGTGTCTCCAGTGTGTACACACCCTCCACCCGAACACGATACGTTTCCCTAGGGAAACGAGCTATATAACGTGCGGCAACATCATTCGCGTGTAAACGTTTACTCGATAAAAGTTTATAAGCCATTCAGTATAAATCATAGCTTTATGATGTGGGAAAATCGGAGTTTAGGGAATGGAGGGATTTAGGGGTTATGGGTGCGTGAGAGGTTGGGGATTTTCGAATTTTGGAGGTGGGGATTTGGGGATTTGGGGATTTGGGGGACTTGGAGATTTGGAGATTTAGAGATTGAGAATTTAGGGAGGTGGGGATTTAGAAAGTTGGAGATTTAAGGAGATGGAGATTTAGAGATTGAGCGCTTAGGAAGTTGGGGATTTAGGAAGCTGAGGATTTAGCAAGTTGGGGATTTACGAAGTTGGGGACTTAGGAAGCTGGAAATTTAGCAAGTTGGGAATTTAGGAAGCTGAGGAGTTAGGAAGCTGGGGATTTAGTAAGTTGGGGATTTACGAAGTTGGGGACTTAGGAAGCTGGGGATTTAGCAAGTTGGGGACTTACGAAGTTGGGGATTTAGGAAGGTGGAGATTTAGCAAGTTGGGGATTTAGGAAGTTGGGGATTTAGGAAGTTGGGGATTTAGGAAGTTGGAGATTTAGGGAGGTGAAGATTTAGAGATTGGGGATTCAGGAAGCTGGGGATTTAGGAAGTTGGGGACTTAGGAAGTTGGGGATTTGGTGACCTGTAAAAACCCAGAACCCTAGTAATCTAGTAACCTAGTAAACTATAAACCTAGAAATCTACATACTCAAATATCTAAAAATTTATCCTCTCTCAACTTCTCAAATCACCAACACGCACATTGCATCCAACAGAACAAAAAATAATAAAAAAAAAAAAACCAATAAAAGCACTGAATAAAAAAAAAGTTCCCCAAACAACAGTAGCACTAGTCCATCCTTCAATGGCATGCAGGGTTACCAGAAGCAAGCGAATCGCGTTGGTTCAGACAAAGAACTGTTTGGAATCCCAACTGACAGAATGTCAGGGCGGTTAAACATTGTTCACCGTGGGATGGAAAAATGTTTTTATTTAAATGCTCTGTACACCAGCTCAAAACGTTTATCGATCGATTCTCCGCTCGCTCACGCCTCGGGCGCTGCTCTTTATATCAACCCCCTATACGGCCTTTTGTCTTTTGCTTCTACATCCGATTGTCAATATTCATTCACGACCGAGATAATTCCAGAAGACTATTCGCACACACGCGTCATCCTTGAACAGCTGTTATAGTGACAATAATAATTTTACGTTATTGGTTTTCGAGTTTCATCGTCTACCGAACCTGCAGACGCATCGATTTTGGTGACTTTGAAATATGTTGTCAAGAATAATGTTCTGAACGACTTTTCTTTATATGCGACATTGTCGTTTGCGTTTACTTTTGGAGATAATCGGACTTGGGTTCAATTAGCATTCTCTGCTGTTACATATCTACTGTACTGTGGTTTTTCAACGAACACTCTTGATATATGGCACTCTATATTTCACAGTGACATTCTACCATGATGTAGAGTGTACATTGTAGACGATGCATCATAAGTGACGTCAACTATTCGCATTTGACTGAGTTATACGACACACGACTGATAACGGCCATATATTGAACACTCGTGTTCTGCCGTATTAGAGTATGATTCCATACACAGAATATTAAAAGAGACTTGAAGGTTCAAAATGACCTTGATATCAAGGTCACCGAAATCGATGAGAAATCACACGGATTACAGATTATCTAGAACGAGATCTTTTGTTCTCCAAACTACGACACCGATGTTGTCTTATAACGAGACGCTTCCCTTCGGGTATACCGAGTGCCGATGGCTTCTTGAGTTGTCACGAACTTCGGCGAAGTTGCGAGGCCCTTTTTGATAAAAACCACTTACTTCGTCTTCACTCGGGTCTCTTGGAACTCTGCCTGGACCGCTCGAGTACACTGCGAAACAATGAGTGGCGAACTTGCGATTGCATCGAGGTTGACATTAACTCGGCCTGTCCCTTGTGTGTCGTGAAAAATAATCGAAAGGGAACCTTGTTATGCGGCTGGAATTTTGTGAACACGAGGTTGGCTACGGTGGAGAGAAAATACTCAATGCTATTTGGTTTAGTTGGGGGAGAAATTGGAAATTTTGAGAATTGGAGTTTTGGAGATTTAGAGCTGCGGTGAGTTGGAGGTTTGGGGATTTGGGGATTTGGAAATTTAGGGACTTGGAGATTTAGAGATTTGGGGATTTAGGGATTTGGAGATTTGGAGATTTGGGGATTTGGAAATTTAGGGACTTGGAGATTTAGAGATTTGGTGATTTGGAGGTTTGGGGATTTAAGGATTTGGAGATTTGGGGATTTGGAGATTTAGGGACTTGGTGATTTAGTGATTTGGAGGTTTGGGGATTTTGGGATTTGGAAATTTAGAGATAGGAATTTGGAGATTTAGGGACTTGGAGATTTAGTGATTTGGAGGTTTGGGGATTTGGGGATTTGGAAATTTAGGGACTTGGAGATTTAGAGATTTGGTGATTTGGAGGTTTGGGGATTTAAGGATTTGGAGATTTGGGGATTTGGAGATTTAGGGACTTGGTGATTTAGTGATTTGGAGGTTTGGGGATTTTGGGATTTGGAAATTTAGAGATAGGGATTTGGAGATTTAGGGACTTGGAGATTTAGTGATTTGGGGATTTGGAAATTTAGGGACTTGGAGATTTAGTGATTTGGAGGTTTGGGGATTTAGGGATTTGGGCATTTAGAGATAGGGATTTGGAGATTTAGAGACTTGGACATTTAGTGATTTGTAGGTTTGGAGATTTGGGGATTTGGAGGTTTGGAGATTTAGAGATTTAGAGATCTAGGAGTTTATGAGCTACACAGATCTGAGGGTTAGCGAGAATGGAGAGTCGTAACCATTTGAGAGATACATGTATTTAGGGATATGGCAATTTGGAGATATAGAGATTTGAGTATATAATGCTTTAGTACATAGGAATCCATAAATACAAGGATTCGAGCCTGTGTATCGACATTCAGAGATATAGAGATTTAGAGATTTGCGATGTAGAGATTTAGAGCTATACAGATTCAGGGACACAGATTTAAGTCCATAGATTTAGGCCATCGAAGATTTAGAGATGCACCCTCTCTATGTTGACACCCAGCTAAATTCGAGAACATATCTATAAAAATTTCCAATTTGAAAATGTAGGAACCCCATAAAAAATTCACTTAAACCGAGTCGGAAACCACTTGAATGGTTATTGGCCAGCGGCACATTCCCAATGTGCCGGTCCTGGGAGGTGTCGCATCTGCCTAACTGCCATATTATGCTGCACCATTGGGAGTCGGTTGAATGCATGATTAGAAGATTATCCGATCACAAATCGCATAGTACACATTGTCCGAGCCAGCTGTAAGATATATCAACTGTATTTTACAGATTGCCGCGATAATTTTGCCAATGTCTATATAGGTATATTTACCACGTACTTATGATAAGTACATATCGGCTACGTACACGCAATTGTTAAACGGTTCGACGCTGTCGTATACACAGGGGCTCGCTCGCATTGATCGCATGCAAGCATTGCCCCCACCTAAACCTCTCACACCGACGAGATACATAAGATGGTCGAATTCCGAGGGGACGAAACGAAGGCGTGAAAAAGAATCGGAACTCTGTTTAAAGCGCAAACCTCTCTTAAAAAAGCTGAATCATGCACCTTCGCTGTACCTTCTGTTACCAACCGAAATATAAATAGGTGGCCGCTCGTCGCGACCCGCATTTACTCCGATCACGCGGTATCGCGTGCCCGATCGGCTGCGTTTATCATACGTTTCAATCATATATTGTACCAGCCATTTTGTGTATTTTTACGCACTGACATTTTTTTAAATTTATTTCAAAATTTGTTATAATTATTAAGCAAGAATTGCAATAACTTTTTTAATTATTCTTGTTACTTTTTTTTTATATTGATCACTTGATAATTTACTTTGATTTTAATGTCTGTCATAACAAGGTATGTTGTAATTGGCAGACATTTTGTTTTACTTATTTCGGTCCAACAAAATGGCCGACGATATTCGACATCTTGATCTGCAACTTTGTTTCCAATTTTTATTTATAGTCAGTTTTTGAACAATGGATGTCTACATTCTTTGCGAGGTTATAAAGGTCATGCTTTATTACATAATCATATAAGATACCTGAAGTTTTTTAAGTACAGCTAATATTTAACGACAGTTAGCAAAATCACGAAAGTCGCAAAAAGTATAATGGCAGAAGTTCGTGTGCTCGCGAGAGCTCGGTAAAAAACGTGGCAACACCGCGAGCGAATGCTCGTTCTTCCCCCACTGCTGTTGGATTCAAGCGCAGAGTATTCTTCCGCCAGCTCGGTGATCGTTCGGCTCGGGAGCCGAACATACCCGAATGCTCTAAGAATGCTCGCTCGGCTTATGCAAACGTCGAAAGAAGAGCCGTAGTTACGGTTTAACGTTCGTCAGCCGTTTATCTTTGTTTCGTCGGAATTATGGAGTGGGACAATGCCATGTGCCTGCAGTTGATCGAGTTTTACCGGGAACACGAGTGCCTGTGGGACCCCGGGAACGGCAGCTACAAGAGCAACAACAAGAAAGACGAGGCCTGGAGGGAGATCGGGAAAAAGATGAATTGCGAAGTAAGGGAAGTGCGGAAGAAAATGGATTCGATCCTCGCGTCTTATCGACGGGAACGGCAGAAGAGCCTGTTCTCGAAGAGCGGGAGATACGGCCCGTACAAATCGAAGTGGTTCGCGTACAAGAACATGCAGTTTTTGCTGGACAAATATAGGCCGAGGTCGACGATCAAGGCCACCATGTCGAACACGGTAATCTTAATGAAAATAGATTAAACGAATCGAACTGAAATTTCTGTGTCCGTAGATAGAAGTGAGCGATTCGAGGAAGACGGACGACACCAACGATACCGATGCCGAGAACTCGGAGGGAAACGAGCAAGAAACATTTTCGCGTCGGGAGGAATTCAAACCTCCCCTCCAGCGGAAGCAATGCAAACGGAAATACGAGTCTCGCCGAGTTCAGGACCCCTACAAGAGAAGAATAGTCGAGAATGTCAGGGACGAGAGCACGGTCTTCGGGGAGCATGTGGCGATGAAGCACAGAAAGTACAGCTCGTACGCGAAGAGCACCGTGGAGCATTTGATCGCCAATATATTGTACGAGGCCGACATGGGCAAGTACGACGATCCCCTCTCGATACCGACGCCATCTTTGCAGTCCAAATCACCCCCGTCGTCATCGCCAACGATACACTATCCTCAATCACCGTCGACGTCCGCGTCGAACATCAAACCGATTCTCCTAACGCAGTCACCTCAAGTTCAAACCACCTCCAAAGCGCATATAGCTCAATCTTCGAACGACGACTCGTTGACGCTTCTCATAAACAATTTCTCAGAAGACGACTCGAAAAATTAGGGTTTCGGATGATTAGGAAAATTCTTTGTGTGGAAAGGTAGCGGGCTACCTTACCCACCGCGCAGGCAGTACCTACTTCTGTGATTCCCCTTAGGGTGCGTTTCGAACGAGCTATTCATCGTCGGAAACTCGAGGGTAGAAAAGAATAATGAATTTCGCTGAAGTGGAAGAGCAATCTGTTTAGTGCGAATGCACCCTAAGGCAGGCGCTTAAGTAAATCGTAACGATGTACAGGTGAAAAAGAGTCTGTTATAGAAATACACTTATAAATTCTGTAAATATACTGAATAAATGTATATGTAATTTATAAGTACGGATATAAAATTTGTAAGTGTAGATATGTGTGTAGATATAAAATTTAAGGATGCACATTTATAAGTATAGATATGTACATACATATAAACATACACATGTACATACATATGCATACACATGTATATACATATGCATATACACGTGTACATACATATAAATATACACATGTGCATATATATGCATATACACATGTGCATACATATGTACATACACATGTGCATACATATAAATATACATATGTAGATACATATGCATATACACATGTGCATACATATACATGTACACATGTGCATGCATATAAATATACATATGTACATACATGTGCATATACACATGTGCAATGTAGACTTCCGTTCAGATGACACATTATAAATTCCACAATTCCGTGGACAGCCATTTTAAACATCACGTGACCCCAGTCATATTGGATCTAGAGATCTCGTTCGGAAATAAATTGTGGTTTACGGAATTGAAACTAGTGTACGATTAAATTTATTCAACCAGAACTTACAATTTACACACTTGTAAAATAACTGAGAATTGATTCTATGTTTACGAAGCTCAGGAATTAGGGCTTAAGGAGTAAAGAGATAGGTAAATAGCGATCAGATTAGCATCGAGAAATAACGGTGCAACTACTGTCAAGCAGGAAGAAATACCGGGAAAGGTACCGACTGCAGGAAGCAGAGCCGCAAATTCCTCGCGGTAATAATTTCCTCGGCGTGGCCTGAACAGGCTGCTGACATTTCCCGCTCATTTTTCTTCTATTTCCGGTAGGATATTCCTAAAGATATAGAAGATGTTATGCTGCTACTTGCAGTTCCGAACTTATGTTACTAAATACTTCTCGTGTAAAAAGGAAGTTATGTCACTAGTCCTTGACACGCTCGGGGACAATGAAACTTGATACTGGGTACAGAAATTTGAAACTTGACAGGGAAAACTGGAACTTGAGACTCTTGTTACAAAAACCCTGATTGTGCGCTACCGTTCTTTCATGCTCGAACTACATAGCATGCATATGTTTTAGATGTGATTACCTGTATTTGACAGACAACTTCACCGTAAGGCCAACACCCATACACAGCTGGTAGAAAGCCGAATGGCGTGACCAGCAGACCGATAGCGAAGTCGTTGCTTGCCAGACTCGTCAGTAAATATCTTGGCTGCAATAAAGTTGAAGAGAACCTGTTGATCGTTTAGATTATATTCTTGGTGTGCTATCAGTTATAGAATTTTCAAGTTTCTCTTTACCCGAAAAGCATCTGCTTATTGAAATCCACTGTTTACGCGTCTGATAAGTTGTGTCACAATGTGGATCTGTTCGTGTGCCAACTTACCAGATGCGCCGAACACCGCGATAAATATACAATTATATTAATTTAGGAGATTAATCGTGAGAATAGAATAGACTTGGCAGACTAAAGTTTACAGGGCTAATGGAATCCATTTTACCTTCTCTTCAAATTGATGATATATATTTAGATTATAAATGGAAACGGTGAAGAGAAAAATTACTTCGCAAATATGTAGTTATTTCCTGGGTATTATGAACTGTCTGCGAAACCGCCTCCAATTTTCAATCATCCCTGTTTTCCTCCCTGCGCTACCCAAGATTCAGCCATGTTTCCGGTTGGACTCTAACGTTCAATTAGTGAGGTTATTAGCTGTTTACGTTCTTCCGGTTAGAAGATCGATTTACTTTAAATCTGCGGTCTGGCAGACCCATAGTTACATTTCCTGGCGAGCTAAACTGTTATCCCTCTGCAAAAATTGCCACCATACTACTAACTTATTTCGCCCGCTATTAACTATTCAAATTGTCCAAATATTTAAATTGTTCAATGTCCAAATTATGCACATTCTGCCTGTTCCTCTTCGAATTTAATCTAGATCGAACAGGTTTTCGCGAAAAGAAGATTAGTGTACCTATTCTAACTTCCATTTCTTTTTCCCGTTCACGGTCATATTTATCTTCCGAGTGTCCACGGGGAGCCTCGAGGAGGCGGACCATACAGAGCTGCAAAGAAGTCGCCTAAGACGATAGAGGGACAAGAGGGATACTTATTTTCTCCCTTCGCCATACGATGACATAGTACAGTAAAACTTCGATATTTCCTCCCACATAAATCCTCGGTCGGGAACGCCCCTCGCTCACATATATCACGCACACGCGCTGGAATTACTCGGAGACATAGAGAACAAGCGTCTACTGTCTTCGGCCTACTAAGCACCAGCCACTTTCAGCCTACTGCATCACCGAGCCTCTCAACGCTGCCGCACTCACCACTCAACGTGAAGTGATTTCAAAATACCATTTCGGCCATTACCGTGCCATATAGAGAAGTTGCTTCGACGTCACAGCTCGGATGCTACCTAGAATCGCTGTATCTAGGACTTTTATCTGAGGGATGCTCAACCTTATTAGAAATAAGAATGAAGCATTCAGTAGTCTGCGTTTTGAGAACTAATTGGTTCAACTTGCTGTTAGAGGAAGACTGAAGCAGTCCGCATTGGACTGCTGTCCCTGATGTAGGGACAATGTTATCCGTTAGTCAAGTTCATCATAGCAATAGTATATGTGGCTGACCATATCCAAGATCGAATACTTTTATCCGAGGGATGCTCAACCTTATTGGAAATAAGAATGAACTGCATTGACAGCCGATTCAGTAGTCTGCGTTTTGAGAACTAATTGGTTCAACTTGCTGTTAGAGGAAGACTGAAGCAGTCCACATTGCAGGGACAATGTTATCCGTCAGTCAACATCGTCATAGCAATAGTGTGGTTGACCATATTCAAGATTAACCAGTCCCCATAATGCACCGTCAACCCTACCGAAGGGTGGAGCGTCCCCCGAAGAGCAGAAAGTGGCAGAGGCGTCAAAAGCCGTGAACCCTCGCGTGACCTCCACGCCTGTCCGTGTGAGATTAACTGTAAGCCACGCATTGGCGACCCCACTCCCTATGACCTAGCTGGAAACGTTTTGCCCGTAACTTTGTACAGTTTCCAGGCCAAACAGCTAAGTGGGTCGCTATCCGAAAGGGACAGTCCACTCTTCTGATAATCCTTAAGAGAAGGCTTTTTCAGACAGCCCTAGAAAGATTACCCAAGGGAGTTGAAGGTGGGTGTAAAGTTTGGACAGGGATGAAGAGTCGCTTTAGACCACCACATATCGACCTAGGACAGTCCGCCAGACTGCGCAATGTGAGACCCTTTTTGGAGGGATTTTCATAACGGCTACATGACATCCCATCTGGACGATGGGTGACAGGACACAGATACAGCATCTGGCGACCGGGATTAAGGGGAGTCCGCGTAACTCTATGGTACTGAAAATGCATCTCTCACATGCTAGAAATTTCTGGACGATCCTTTTCGGTAATTGCTAAAGTTAAGGGCTGTAATTGTGGGTGATCCATTACGGCACTCGGTGCGAGCCACCGAAGTACCGCAAATAATTAGAACTACCTTCTGGAACATGGTCTGTATGTGTCATAGTACTTCATATAGTCTCTATAGTGGCTCGATTTTGCTTCTGTATCGGAAAGTGCTGGTAAGATTAAATTGATGGCGGATTAAATTTTTATGTCAGCTTAATTTTGTAAGAAGATTAGGATGTTTACGAGGCCGTTAAGTGTCGTCCTGAAATTTATATTACCTGACAGGCTGACTATTGTAGGTCAGGTGTTCATCACCGGGTGACACTCATGTGTTTCATGTGACACTTATAGCAGGCTCAGAAGCGTATACATTTCTAGGCTAGCTTTATAGTATTTGTATAGGTTAGGTGTTCATCACCGGGTGACACTCATGTGTCTCATGTGACACTTATAGCAGGCTCAGGAGTTTATACATTTTTAAACTAAGTTTATAGTATTTGTGACTCAGATAGTACTCTTAGACAAGTTACATATTCAAGTATTTTCAAAGAAACTTGTTAGAACTCAGAGCTTTAAATGAATCCATGACCTAGGGTCCATAAAATGTTAAATGTACTAACCTGTGCATGAATATATTTGCTGTACCGTTTGCTGTTGATGACGCATATAACTAACAGATTCGTACAAAGAATACCGAGGCTAAGTAGAAGAATTAGAGCGGCCCGTAGTAACTCAGCGGGTCCTGGCACGGTCCAAGTGGGCTCGGACGTGTCCCTTTGCCAGCAGCTACTGTTGCTTAATGCGGGTGGAAGCAAAATCGTCTGTTTGTGTTCCATTTCTTCTCGACTCGAGTGTCCGTTCTGAAGAAACGTGTCTGATCTCCTACCCCAGACGAGACGCTCGTGTCTCGCGCGAGGTTGAGCTGATACACGTGATTCCCGGCAGGATCTCATCTTCGTCGTACTGTCAGCCCGGCCGGGCTCGATTGACGACCATTTAAAACAGCCGCAAGTTTCATCGTTGCTAATCGAGCGACTCTGTATTGTCGGTTATGAGATGCGTCTGATGGTACGCACCCTCGTACTCGTTTAAACTCATAAATTGGTGATTCGGTGCTGAGTTTTGGTTGAATACTATCTTTCAGTGGTGCGTGGTGTCAAGGCACGGTTCATTGGGTTGATATATCTGTAACATGGAATAAAATACAGGTAGGTAGTTGGACACTTTAGGGCAAGAAGATGGGATCTGGAGGTCTGACTCTGGAGTTAGGACTCTAGATAGGTTTAGGGAAGTCTGAAAATGATTGACGGTTTGCAAATTTTTGGAGATTGAAGTCTAAGGATACAAGAACCTAATATCGGCCCTGAATAATATTAGCAACGGTACTATCCTATCTCAGTAACATCGCCACATCATCGGCTCTGACCCCAGATAGGTCTAAGGAAGTCTGAAGATAACTTTGGAGGTTTGCAAATTTTTGGAGATTGAAATTTGTGGTCTTAGGATAAAGGAACCTAAGAATTTAGAGATCTGAATATATCTGACCCAGAATACCCTGGTACCTATCATAAATATCTCGGTAATTACCATCCCAGCCAAAAATTTGCAATAAAAAGCTCCTGGAAATTATTTTGAATAGACGTACGATATATTGAATGAAAAATGGTTCATTCAAAGTTGAGGTCGAAGAGCCAGGGTAAATAGGTAAAAGGAAGCCGCGTATAAAGGCATTAAGTAAAAAGGGAATACTTACGCAGAAGAATATATGTCAAGGGAATCCAAGCAGTAGGATAATGTTATTTTTGTCGATGAGAGGAAATTTATGTTGAAAGAGTTAAAGTCTAAAGTAAATTTACAACCAACTGTAAAACTCGCAGGCGGATCGATAATAGTATGGGGTGAATTTCGCCCACGAAGTGGATGAATTATTATTTATCGACGACGTCCTAGATAAAAATAGGTACTTAACTGTCCTGATGAATAATTTAACGAAAAAGTGATGTCAAGATAGATGCTGGCGGGAGGTATAAATTTTATGACGGTTGAACACGTGTCGTGAAAGAAATTTTATCACCAAAATTATTTTTATTAGGAACTTCTTATGATATCTACGTGTTGATGTTAGCTAAAGACGATTAATAATAGTTTTTAATATTTCAGTGTATTTATGTAAATATACAATAACTTTAAAAGTCTCTCCATCCTCTTTTAACAGTCTCTCGTTATATTGCAATCCAAGTAAAACTTTTGGTGTCAATAATGCAGTAACTTCGCTAAAAGTTTTCTCTCTTGATATTGCTGTAATTTCCATGTAAATGAGGCAGTATAATGAGAGTCCATAACTTACAATTTTTCATGGAATTAGGCTGACATGAAGATATTAAAATGTCATGTCACAAATGTTTTATGAGTCGTATATTCAGAGATATTTAATCTTTCGTTTAATAAAATACTTATGAAGAAAGTTATTGTAGAGGGTCAATCTGAAGAAGTTAGGTTATGGAGGGTGAAAGTTATCTCAAGGTCATACCTCCCTAAACTATTATGACTCTTATGTGCGAAACTTTATTTATACTCGTTGTACTTAAAATTTATAAATAAATTATATGTAACATGTTTCAAATTTTTTTTCCAGCCTTCTCTAAATTGTTTTATTATTTTTTTTAAACAAATTTTTATTCACTGTTTACATCTGGGTATAACTAATTTTTGAAATGTAATAAATAAAATTTAATTCAATACTATATAAGTACTGGTATTAAGTAAAGTACCGAATTAGCGTTAAAGTGACAAATTTTAAACTTCATACAGCGAACGCTGAAATTTATTTAATCGCCCGAGGTAAAACGTGCGGTACAGCGTAACTGAATATACCAGTTCGTTTCATCTTTTATTTACTTTTAATTTAAAAGTCAATGTTCATAAAAAGCCGGCAGCGTAAAATCACGTCCATTAAAGAGATGCCTTCTACAAAAAGTTACAAGTGCAGATACGTACCTCTCATAAAGATGACCGCAACTAGTTAAACTTAATTTCATATGCCTCCAAAAATCACTGCGATACAAATTTAAAATCACCTAAAGTTTCACTTACACTTCACTTAAAAACTTTGCCTAAAGTTTCTGCCGCTCAGAGCACATGTGCGGAAAGTAATTTTAATTAACCGAAGTTAAACACATTTTAAACGAACGGTAATGTTTTGCATCGATGACCGAAATTGTCATGTCTCGTTTGAAGTCGTTGAACAAAGTTGAAACGAGGAGTACAAGGTGAAACAGAAGAACGTCGCGACGACGCGAAGGCTGACGGTACACTGACTACCCGCCCAAACTCCCAACGAGCGAGCACTCGAGAGAGAGAACACCCATTCTCCCATTCCGATCCATTTTCCCCTACTGCACCAACACGCTCTACCGTGCCAAAACCCACCCACCCACGCGATTCCCTTCGACCATCTCCTCGGCCCTAGCTTTTACTGATCGAAACTGAACGATCCACTTCGCTAACGATCGAGGATCGCGCCACATGCGTATGTATTTACTTATGCTTATCAAAATGAAACCGCCACTGTGGTCAGGGTGGTCGGAGTTGATGAACAAGTGGTAGCGGCTACCACCTGCTGATGGTACTCCACCTCTATTCAGTATCTACTTCTGTTTTTCACGATAGAATTACGTTTCACGATAGATTTCACAAATGAAGCACTCTTGTTGGCCTCTATGCCTATTTGCATCACATGGACACCTTTGGAACCAACAATTCACTTCCAGCCTATGTGGCCATTCACGATTTTCGTAACTAATGTGTATTTACATATTCAGTATTCGTTCTGCATTGATCATCTTTCGTTTACCCGCTTCCTATTAATGAATGCGGCTTCGTTCATTATACCGTACGTTTTTACCGCCATTAGCGTTGGCGAACGCGGAACTTGCCGAGCCTCGTTAAGCGCTTTCGCATTTTGCGAAATTTATATGAATCAAGTGTAATTACTGAGTTACCGAATTTACATAACGAAATTCATCGTTATAGGTTTTATTCGATCAAAGTTTCTAACTCTTGTTCTTCAGTTACAAAAACTAGGAGTTGTACGGGTAGATGTTGAGTTAGGATAAACAAGCAGATAGTATCCCAGTTTTCTATTCCGTGTCTAATTGCTTCTCTGATTATTTACCTAGCTTAAACCCACCCTTGACGAAATTGGGGTAGAAACTCTGAGTGGTCATATGGTGCACTATACACGGTACAAGTGGACAAACTTCAAGAACTTCCTCATATTTGAACACTGGGTCTTCATAGTAGGATTCATCCTAAGTGGAAATTCTCAGGACAAGAATTAATTTAACACAGGGTTATTTGTGTCAGGATACTACTTTGAGAATATCCGTATCTTGTCCTTATAGTTCAAAAGGGTAGTTCATCTTCAAGGAATATAAGTAGGCCCAGAAATACCACCTTGGATTTGTAGGACCCCCTATTCTGAAAAATCGGAGTGAGCGCCATCTACAAAGGCTCCATCTCCTTATAATTCCCCTGGGACATAAAGTCCTTACATGATCACTAATATTCAAATGGTATCAATCAGTTCTGGACATTAGACATCATTCCATGAAATGGTGCTGTCTTAAACAGCATCACTTTCCAATTATACAGCTGAGTATTTATAACTTTGATCATTGTACTTAAGCCCATATTATAATAGGCTGAATTGATAATAATAATGTATTATTTGCTGGAGAAATTTGCCTCCTTGAATAGACAGCTGCCCATTTTCATGAGTGACCTGTTTTTCTTCCACAATCAGTCACACCATTCTGCTCAGATGAATAGGCTATTGTGTATTGTATCTTTATACTCTCCTGAAATACTTCTTCAACTCGTTTATTAATGCATCCCTTACAGACTTAAAACACTTCAGTGTAAACAAATTTTATTTGTTTAAATTCACTTCTGCATTTTTTTGGAAAATTGTTTTGCATGTCTGACTTATACTGTCATATGAAGACAGTTATATCTTACAGTACTTGCTTTTTAATTGTACTTTCTATATAACTTTATTATTGCTTATAATTACAAAAATTTTATATCTGAACCAGACTCTTTCAACTTCTTTGCAGGCACTGCATTTTCTTCAGGAATGAAAGTAATATCTCTTCCTCACAGAGCTTCTGTTCAGGTTGCTAACACAGAATAATTAATATATGATTAACATACTATTTCATATCACTTTCAGATGATACTGTGCTGCATAATTTTATCAGCACTTGATTTAATAATAATGTCTTATGACAATAAATCTTCAAATATCTCCTTTGAACTTTTTCTATCTTCTGTACACCATAATTAATCATCTTCTTAATAACAATTTAATCTTCCTTCATGAATAACTTCACTTTACACTTTCTGAATTGTGAACTACAACTTTATTTTCTTTGAAAATACATGAAGTACATGAGGTACTTTGAAAGTATGGTATTGTAAGAAATTTGTTCTTGTCTACATTAATAACTGTCAGATTTTTAACAAATTAATCATTACAATACCATCTTTCACCAGATTACATTTAGTATTACTAACTTTTATAGTTAGAACTATTTTACATACTGTTTACTTATGTTCACTATTACTAAACCGCTAATGTTTATGCATTTATGATTTGCTAAAACCTGGAGGCTACAAATAAATTATTAAATAGGTAAACTATGGATCTAGACAGATTACATGATACAGTGCTTCATGATCATTGAGGTATAATGAATGAATAAATAATCGCAGCCTATTACGTACACCACTATATTATTATGGCTCTATATTTTATCAATTATTTTCCTGTTTCCTTTTTCTAACTGGTATCCTCAATTATCATCATATGCATGTACTGTATTATATAAATCAGGTACAACCTTTCGTTGCACAATATAAACTTATTGCTTATGTTTTAAGAGTCGCTGTATATACAATAAATATAATTACAATAAATACAACAGGTATAATATACAATAAATATACATATACATAGTCTTAACAATTATTCAATGTGACACCCTACTATTCTATATTTCACTTTTCAATATTTTACTTTCCTAATCTTTGGTCCTTTAATCCGTTTTTCTCTTTTTAGTGAATATAACTTAATTACTTATTTTATATTATGAACCTGTTTGAATTATCAAATTTAACTATAAATCTTCTGCTTATCATTTCTTATCTTCATGCCACGTGTCTTGGGTTTATAGCCTATTGCTTACAGATGTTTCCTCGACGAACAACTCTTCATTCGCTTTTAATAAATTATAAAACTCAAAATACAAAAGTAATGAAATATATACCTGAGAACTGCATTAAAATTTCCTTAGCATAAGAAGCAATAAAATTGTAAGAAAGTGTTCCGCTTATCTGCATATCCAAGATGGCACCACCGCCCAGGCATACCAACGTGGTACTTCACCCCATTTTTAATTTCAAACTGCAACATAATATAAAACGTTCACTTTGATGATTTTATCAAAAATATCATTTTTATCCAAATTTATTTAATTTAAAAATAATTACAATTTAGTCATTAAGTTAAATAAAAGGTATTACAATTTTTTATTTAACAAAACAATAGAAGATCTATAATTTTATCAAATTTTACATTCCTTTAAACATCAACAGTATCTGTAATCGAAGAAATTTATAATGTACAACAAAGATGTATTCAAATAAAATTACTGTCAAAAAATTCAAATCTTTATGATTTAGTTAACAAGGATGTCCTGTTGCAGAAGAAAAGATGAATGTGAACAATATTTTGATAATATTTGTTGTGGTTAGTTTTTCAAAATAAAATTTATTTATTGATGCTTTAAATGTTTTAATAAAATTTTGATATGTTTAAAAAAAAATTTAATTAATGATCTAAAAAATTAATTTAATAAAGTATTTTATTTGACAGAATTGTGCTGTACGATAATAAATAAAAAATATTATTTATGATATAAGATTGATAATTTAATTTTTAATACAGGCAATACTGATGACACAAAGAAACGTCTGACCTTCAGTCCTGCAGTCCACGTGTGTCTTTGTAGAAATAACGAAAAATGCTACACCTCCACCGACTGTAGTAGTCTCGTATCCAGTAATTCTGCTATGAGTTTAGAACCCTGTCAATGCGCGGAAGAAATAATGTGGAACTGTAATACTCCACCTAAACCAGGTTGCAAATGGTTTAATAATTTTTCCGAGTTACGTCGACAGTGGAGTAATCATGCTCGTCGACAAAATTGCAGGTGCTGCAATTGCAAACTGCGGTAAGTAAATTAAAAAATTTTGAAAAATTAGTCTTAAGTAAACTGTTTTTTTATGATAAGCATCGTCTTTTAGCTAATCAGGTGATAATTCTGGTTAAACTGTTAATATAACAAAAGTGGAAAATGTTCGAGCTTAGGGGAACAGTATGAGGACATCCTGAAGCATCTTTTTCGATGCAAGAAGAGATTTATCAAAAAATATGACTTAGTTTAAATAAATTCTTAAATAATCGAATCCAAAAATAGCCACGAAATTTTATTTCCCTGAAGTGTTTTGAAAATCAAATATTCCTCTGGTTAGATAAACGTGAAAAGTATTTTACAGTTCTTAATATTAAAAAAAATTTGAGTATTAAATTTAAACATATTTATCTAATATTAAATAGTAAAATAAATATCTAATATTAAATACTGAATCTGATAAACTGTCTATCCATGTAAATTAAAGATTGAAATGTACACGATACATTAGAAAATAATAGGAACACAAAAGGTCAATAATTCGAAGAAATTATTACATAATCATCAAAAGTTGCAAGTGTTAACATCCATGAACGACAGTGTATATATATTCCAGTGCGCATAGTGTTAAGAAATGTAGATTGGACACGTGCAATGTGTATACGATATAACAATTTTTCCTTCTATGTAAGTATCATACATAACATTTAAAATAAGGATAATCTCGAAAATATTTCTCGTAATATTAAATAAAATTACGATAGCGCATAAAATAAAATTATGTTCCATGCGCATGGATAATTACTAATTGCCCAACATTATAGCTGGCATATGTTTGTTACATTGCATGCAATCGTGTACAGATAAAACTTTTAATTATAAGTACTTTATGATTCATAATATCGTCTGAGATAATTAAAGCGTTTGTACCCGTTCTTTTGATATTACACGAAATTTCAAATTGGCTTGCAATAGTTATTGGCATTTTCAGAGGCGTGGTATTTCTTCCATGCACTGTATGTGAACGGTACACTCGCTGATACACGTGCACTTCGGAATAGTGTTACACCTACACGAGTGAACAAACGTGAATCGTAACCTGAAAACGAAGCTTATAACATACAATTAAAGTTAAATAATAATTTAATATCAACAGTGATCCATAAAATTTTATTAAAATTATATTTCATTAGAATTATTATTCGGTTCAAGTTCGCCGACCGCTGTTCACGCTCATCGACTTGTTCACGTTCTTATGTTTGTGAAGGGTAACGAATACAGACTTCGTATTTTACATAATCTATAAGCGTATAAATGTTTAATATGTTTTGACACGAAATCAAATTTTAGGTTGTGTATTGACCAACGTGTATGCACAAAAATTCGTGTGTTAAACATAACCTCAAATGAACGCGTGGTTGTTTGGACCAAATGTGTTGAGCACTTTGTTTATGCTACTTTTTAATATTTTAATTACAGGCCGGTGCTACGGAATAAAGTTTAAACATAATATATAAAATTGTGTCATGGAAACAGAATTTTTAAATTTTCATGATGAGGGTCACTTTTCAGATTTCTCATTATCTTTGGAACAGGTAACTAACTTGTCAATTTTTTATATTTTTATTATAGATACTCAGTCCTATATTTTATCTGGAATTCTATTTTCAAAATATTAACCTTCGTTCCTGTTATATTTGCCAATTACAACTGGTAACGATAGATGCTTTTATAACTTTTGTTAATCATTTTATAGTCATTATTTGAATATAACATATGTCGACATAAATGCCTTGTACATATTTGTATTATAATAATTTAATATAAGCAATATGTATCTGCTTCTTTGTCCCCTTTCTAATTTATTCAAATAACTTTCTTTTAACTCATTTACTATTATCCTGTTGAACTGATAGATTCAACTATGTCAAATTAAATTTTGTCATACATACGTGTGTCTATGTAAATGTATTTATATTATTCTTGGTTGTGGAATAATTTTTCATCTTCAAAATAAACTATGATCAATAATAAAGTATCAAATATAAGAATGTTCATTCCATGATTGTTTCAAGTTCCAATTAATTTCAATGAAACATTTAATATATTTTATATAAGTACTTTTAAATTATATTGTTTGGTACTAGAATTTAGTGGAAAAACCTCAGGACTTGCTAATGCACATGGTTGAAAATGATTTTGATTACATGGAAACACATCTTGACATTACAAATTCTGATGGCTTATGGAATAATCAACATGAGTAAGTAGAACTGTTTGTATCAAACTTTGAAATTGAGATGTATCATATATTATGTGATTTTAGATGCAATGACAGTGCAGGTGAAACATCTATCTGTAAACTTGATAGCATCAAGGAAGACTTTGCAAAAGTCCTTACAGATTGGCAGGAACATATTGGTTACTTACAGGTTTTTATTAATCTTAGTCTGAAATGTTTAAGGTTTTTACAGTCATATTAACTAGATTTTTTCTTAGACCTCGGATATGGATGAATATATGGATATTATAGGATTCAATATCAATGCTACAGATAAGAAAAATTTCTGTACTTCAGAAAATGTACTTCAAGATGAGTTAATACATAGTATAGAATCTGATTTTCTTGTGATGAAAGAAGAGGACTTTGAAAAAGAATCGCTTCAATCTTCTCACAGTATATTGGATGTTGAAAACAGTAATAACAAAACAGGATTTTTTAATACTAGTTAGGTTTTATAGAATTTGCAACAAATAAAAATTTATACAATCCAATAGGTGACTTTACAGAGAGTGATAATAAGAAACCAGAGGTAGAAACTGAATCATTATTAAAGGAACCTAAATATTTAAAAAGTCAGAATAAGGTAAAAAAGAATGCAGCTAAATATAAGAATGTAGGAATTGACATTAATACAACACAAAAGAAGAAAAGGAAAGAGAAACAATTACAGTACAATAAAGATACACATAATAGTAATGGGAAAAGTGAAAAATCTCGTGTAAATCAATTGCCGGGTATATTTATATATATTTTAATTAACGAAATTTAAAGGCACATAAACATCTGATTCAGATGGTAATAACCCCTTCTTTCACTTCAGTTTTGCAAGCTGGTGATGTTAAAAGTTTACTAGAACAATTTGAAGCTTCTGAAAATACGCTTTACCCGTCATCCAGCGCTAATGCAGAATGTGACCAAGAGGTGATACAGGCAAAATCTAAGGAAACTCAACAGTATACAAAACAGTCGCCATCTTTCACTACGAAGAAGTCATTGTCACGAATGTCGAATTTGCATAAAAATATCAGGAATGCTCTACCTAAAGAAATGGTCGAAAAAATAAAGGTAATTATTTGAACATTTCTTTCAATAAAGAAGTAGTATGCAGAATAAAATCACAGTAAAATTGATGATATTACGTGATGTTAGACATCTGCACATAAAAAAGGGATTTCAATAATATCAACAATACCTAATGCACAAAGTAATGGTCGCAGCAATGGCACACGTATGCAAGATGCTGCTGTGACTCTTTTTCGAAACAAGCTTTTAAAAGTAGTTGAGTATACAAATCAAAATAATACTTATGTCCTCCTAAAGGATGCAGAATGCACATGAATAACTTCAAACTGTTTAAATTAAGAAGACTCTTAAACAATGATTGTTGTATTTTCTTAGGTGACAAATGACACTAAAAGTAAATCTATTAATGGTGGATTAATCCAGCTGGATCATGATTATTGCAGTACAAATTCCTCCATTAGTAGTTCAGATAATAACAGTGAGTATGAAAGTCGATGTAGTGATAGTGAAAATGTGATTCCAATGAAGGTGATAGTCAGCAGTTTTATTTTATTGTTACACAGAGTACGAGAAACAATCATTTTCTTCGCATTTGAATAAAAATGTGACAAAAAGTAAAGAGTGTTTAACTGAAAACAGTTTGAAGAAAGATAGTGGTTTGGAATCAGGTGAAGTAAGTGACAATAGTGAAGAACAATCAATGGTTACAGTAGTTAATGGTGTCCAAAGTAATGAATCTACAAAACAGCTACCAAATAAAGTAAAAGACTGTCAGAAAGAAACATTACCAAAACAAGGGAATTATCAGCAACACAGTGATATTTCAACTAACACATCAAATTTTGTTGTTAATAAAGTTCAAAGTAAATCTGCAAATATTCCAAAACATGAAATGAAAATTCAGTCAGCTCTAGCAACAAGTATTTTGCAATTACAACAAGGTGTCTTAAACAAAACGGAATCTTTAACAACGGGTAATCAGAGAGTAAAACAAATGGTTTCTGTGTTAAAAAGGCCATTAAATGTTCAGCAGTCACCAGTCTTAACAACTACTCCTAACGAAAGTGTTGTAACTACCACAAATAGCTTAAATAATGAAGTACAAAATATTATTGTTCAAACCAATGAGAACACATTTGTACAAGAGAATAACAAGAAACCACCCCGCAAAAAATTAAATCTGGCAGAATACAGAAGTAGAAGAGAACAGAATCGTAGCGATAATAGTAGAACAAATTCACCAGTGTCGCCTATGACATTAGTATATATTCATCATGCTTCTACCACAACAGAACCTATTAAAGATGATCCCGACAACTTGATCTGGTCAGAAAGAGAAATTGTATCGCTTTTGAAACCAAAAGCGGAAGTAGACGAAAAAAAAGTTCTTCCAAAACCACCCACTTGTGATGTAGGAATTCAAACTTACGAAACAGTATTTGAATTTCCTCGGAATTCTGTAATTGCTATTGATGAAAGGTGAGGAACATAGGTAAAAGTACAAAGAAACTTTTAGAAGTGTTGGATATTTGTTGTCACAAACACGAAGATTAATAAAAATGTCAGCACTATCTGTTTTTTTTTTGATACCCTACAATGTTAGCCCGAAATTTGTTTTCACATATGACTTTAGACATATAAAGCTGACTATATTAAGGACGTTTATTATTGTTTCATGATTTTCAGGGAAATGCCAACGCGAGATAAAACTCCACAACCTTGTAAGAAGCAGAGAATTAGCTCTAGCTCAAGCCGATCTAGATCAAGAAGTAATAGTAAAAGCAAAAGTAGAAGTAGAAGCAGAAGTAGCAGTAATCGAAGTAGATCTTACAAACGTAATAATACACGTCATCGAAGGATAAGTCATCGTCGTAGCTCAGTTAGTTCAAGCAGTAGTTGGTCATCACGTTCACGTTCACGTTCACGATCACGTTCACGCTCACGTTCAAACACAAGATCTTCTCTCAGCTCAGAGTCAAGGTACTCACGGTCACGTTCTAGATTGTCTAGATCAAGATCTCGATCATCATCCCGATATTCTAGTTGTTCTAGGTATATACTTATTATATAGGTACACATTATAAACGCACGTGTTCAGATACGTATTCATGAGACACATTTACAGGTCCTCGTCTCGTTCGAATTTCGGGAGAAATAGATGGTCAAGAAGGAAAAGACGACAAAGTAAAAAGTATCATAGAAGTTATGACAGGGATAGCCAACATTCGTCAAGCAGCTATCGCGATTATGGAGATTGGAGAAGGTATATATAATATATTTATTATGCTTACGCTAGAAGTTCAACCTGTGGCTATTTATTTTAGTAGGTCATCATCAAGCTCTTATCGAAGACCATATGATACTTGGTACGATCGAGAAAAGCAAAGACAAGTAGAAGAGAGAAGAGTAATTTACGTTGGACGTTTGGATGAAGGAATCACTAAAGCCGATTTGCGTAGAAGATTTGAAGTTTTTGGTCCTGTAGTAGATATTAGCGTACATTTCCGTGAACACGGGTAAATATCCTCATTATATGTGTATCTGTTTGAGTGCAACGTACAAAGTTTCTACTTCTTCTTTTAGTGATAATTATGGCTTTGTAACATTTGCTTACAAAAATGATGCATATGAAGCTGTAGAACATGGTAACGATAATCCAAGTTTACCTAGATACGATTTATGTTTCGGGGGTCGTAGAGCATTTTGTAAAGTAAAATACGCTGATCTTGGTAAGGATACATTTATATAATTTATTTATAAACTTAATGCGTGTTGTACAAAATATATATATAATAGAAAAATGTCTTCTGCTTGTCTAAACAAGTTTAGACTTTTTAGTAAAGACTTTTACAAGTAATATTATAGATATATTATCTTTGACAGATGGCATGGCCAGCGATTCATTTAGCAATGAACTACAAGGTAATGAAGACAACACATTCGACCTGTTACTAAAAGAAGCAAAAGCAAAATTACGTAAAAGGAAAGTTTGACATATGTACTACTTATTAGTTATAAAGGTAATTTAATAAAATTAATGTATATGTCGCAGTCGATAATATTCAAAGGAAAAGCTGGTGGAATGGTATGTACCAGTATACTTGATGTCTTAGAAATGTTGTACACCATACGAATTGCAAATTTTGTATACCAAATTAAATTGCAGTTTTTTTTTTTTTTTTTTAAATCTATAGTTTCGTTTTCAAAGCATACACGATTAAAAATGAGGTGTTCAACTTCTGTTGTATCATGTTTAAGCCATAGTGAAAAGACAATTTATTTTTGTATGGAGAATTTGCAAGCGTTATAGGTTGCAACTTTCTACAGACATCTTTTGTATACTAAACTGCATAGTACTTTCCACAAATAGAAATATAGTAAAAGTTACATAATTGTTATACAATATAATACTGAAATTTTACAATATGCCATTCGAAAGATAGGTATGATTTGATAGATAGATATTTTCCAAATTACCTAGAAATATCAATGCTGTAAAAGATATTTTGCTTCAATTTATTACATTATTTTCAGTTATAGTGAAAGTATTAAAGTTTAATTTATAAAAAAGTCTGGTTAGTTAAGAATATATAATAGATTTATTTTGAAGATTTCCTTCATTTTTATAAATAATTTATTGAAACTCATACAATATTAGTTATAAACAGATGAACATGTGAGGTTCGATTGAGTTCAAGGAACACAGTATAATTTCAATGTGTTTTAACCCAGAAAATATGAATTACCATTATAATATGTAAAGCTTGCATATAAAAGTAAATGTATTTTTGTCACTTTTAAAGATGCTGGAAACTAATTATAATATAATGTATTGCAAATTATATTTAAGAGCATACGTATTATACATAGCTCGTACGTATGTATGCATGCAAAATTATATAACAACCAGAATGAAGTAACAATATATCTATTCTAAGACCCAGTTAACACATTATTTACTATATTTTTTTTTTTTAAACGATATATTTGTATTTGATCTTGAACACATCTATTATCTTCTATCCAGCAATTCTATTTTGAATTGAAACTCGTTATTTAATTATATATGGCATTTCATATAAATTCTTAAATGTATTATCATTTTTTATTTTTAAATAAAAACCATAAATTAACAACACTTTTTGCTAATTGTATTTTAATCAATTTTGATTTCGATAAATTGAGCAAACATTTATATTAAAATGTATGTTAACATAGAAATTATAAATGTATACATATTTTAATGTTTTCATAGGAATGAATATTTTATGAATTTTAAAGGTAAACAGTAAAAGTGTATTGTGTTATTTTAATTAAATTTATATTATATTTTATGCTTAACTTAAGAATCCTAAATAATAAATTTAACAATTTTATAAGTATGCTAGCAGTATGGGCAATGATTAATTAACACAAAAGGGTTAAAAATTGATAACAATGAAATTGAAACTTCACAGTTCCTACCACATAAAAAAAGCAATATTTGCTTATTATTTCTAAGCAATTAAAAATATAACTTTTCTTCAACAAAATGTCAATTATTATTTTTAATTGTGTATTTTGTACTGATTCTTATTATGTATTTGATTTAATCATGTCAACAAATACATATAATTATGTCAATTAATTACGATAATCGAATTGTTTTTATGTTATTTAATCTTACCACAAATTCCCTGAAATTTTTTTATGACGGAAAGAAGCTCTTCAATAAATTACATGAACAATTATATTATCTATCAATTAACAGTTGTCTTAAAAAAATGACAATAAATGAAAAATAGAACAAAATTCGTTTAAAGTTCTTACAGTAAATTCTTAATTTTAAAAAATAATAAATTCTAACCTCAAACATAAATACGTAGTGACCTTTCTCTCACGTCCACCGCAACTGCATCCAACCTTCAAAGCCAAGACCGCCAACTATTAGACTTTATAAACAACTAGCAACTCACAGATTAGATTTTTATAATTACGAAACAGAATATGAGCAACTGTTTTATTTAAAATTCATATTTACTTTCTTGACAATCACTAATTTAATTTATAAATTAAGAAAGCCTTAGTTTCTCAAGATTCAAATTTAAAAGCACTAAAACAGTACCACTGTCGCCATCCAGCAGTCAAATGGTAAAGCATAGGTACAAAATGACGCGGTATTTTAAATTGCCAGCAGCAGATGTTGTCAATGCTGAGGTTACCGACGAAACTATATGGTAATGGTGGTCAGCAATGCATTACTTACATGGTTTGATCATGAAAGTTCATAAATAATGTTCGGGTAATGAGTAATTAATTATTTTGTGTCAGCATTGCGATACGTACATGAGCCGCCTATGTCAATTCTATTGCACATGCAAAGTGCAATATTTCGGCACTTTGACGACGTAGTATGGTTCCTGAGGCATTTAGAAACAAATTTCTATTAGGGTTTGATGCGTTTTGATGCCTAATAAAGCCAGAAAATGAATTTTTGCCGAATTCGGTCCAAAACGGTACAGGTGGCGCCATCTAGCGGCGAGCGGCGGAACTACGAAAAACTAAAATCTCGATTTTCTCGAAAACTAGGGACTTTTCCGAAATTCTGAGATATACAAATTGTTCCTTGTCGCCTACGGAATCTAACGAATGTAATTATAGCCTGCTAGGACAATTATTAAGGAAAATAGAAAAATAGCCCATTTCATGGACTAAAAAATTAGCGTCCATCTAGCGGCGAAAGTTGGAACTACAAAAATAGAAAATCTCGATTTTCTTGAAGACTAGGGACTTTTCCGAAATTCTGAGATATACAAATTGTTCCTTGTCGCCTACGGAATCTAACGAATGTAATTATAGCCTGCTAGGACAATTATTAAGGAAAATAGAAAAATAGCCCATTTCATGGACTAAAAAATTAGCGTCCATCTAGCGGCGAAAGTTGGAACTACAAAAATAGAAAATCTCGATTTTCTTGAAGACTAGGGACTTTTCCGAAATTCTGAGATATACAAATTGTTCCTTGTCGCCTACGGAATCTAACGAATGTAATTATAGCCTGCTAGGACAATTATTAAGGAAAATAGAAAAATAGCCCATTTCATGGACTAAAAAATTAGCGTCCATCTAGCGGCGAAAGTTGGAACTACAAAAATAGAAAATCTCGATTTTCTTGAAGACTAGGGACTTTTCCGAAATTCTGAGATATACAAATTGTTCCTTGTCGCCTACGGAATCTAACGAATGTAATTATAGCCTGCTAGGACAATTATTAAGGAAAACTAAAATCTCGATTTTCTCGAAAACTAGGGACTTTTCCGAAATTCTGAGATATACAAATTGTTCCCTATCGCCTACGGAATCGAACGAATGTAATTATAGCCCGCTAGGACAATTATTAAGGAAAATAGAAAAACAGCCCATTTCATGGACTAAAAAATTAGCGTCCATCTAGCGGCGAAAGTTGGAACTACAAAAATATAAAAATGCGATTTTCTCGAAAATTAGCGAACTTTGAGGACTTCCGAGACTCAGAAAGTGTTACGTGGTCGCATTAGAAGCAAAATAAAGCAATAAAAGTTTCCTGAAAGCTTTAGTAAAGAAAATAATAAAAAGGGCATTTTATGGACAAAACTAGTGGCGCAATCTAGCGGCGAATTTTTTTGTCCATGAAATGGGCTATTTTTCTATTTTCCTTAATAATTGTCCTAGCAGGCTATAATTACATTCGTTCGATTCCGTAGGCGATAAGGAACAATTTGTATATCTCAGAATTTCGGAAAAGTCCCTAGTTTTCGAGAAAATCGAGATTTTATTTTTTCGTAGTTCCGCCGCTCGCCGCTAGATGGCGCCACCTGTACCGTTTTCGACCGAATTCGACAAAAATTCAC